CAGCCCAGGGTTGCACTCTGTTGGAATTCCTCCCTCACAAATCTCGGGCCTAGAATTCGCCCAGAGCAGTGCTCTTGTGAGGGTCGAAACTGCACTCTGTTGCATTTTAGAGCCGATAAGGCGTAGAAACTACAACCTGAGTTTTAGATTTACGATTCTCTGTGCTGTGTTGTGATGGGGGGGGTGGGGTCTTTACTCTGAGAGAGAGAGAGAGGCGTCTCGTGTGTTTGCGTCTGTCCACCAGCGCATGACACGCAGCCATAGCCGTGTGAATGAAGCAAAGCAAGTGTGACAAGAGCCTCGTCGTTGCCTCGGCATGATTCAGGTGACTGGGACTGCACCGAAGCTAGAAGTCGAGCGTTGAGTGTCTGAAGGGTCGGAAGAGAAGTCCGGGATGCTAACCCTACGCTGGGGTTAGCTCACTTGTCAATTCCTTGTGGGAGGTCCAGTGTTGTGCAGGCAGCAGAGAGAGGCTCAGATGCTTGCGGAGGGGTTGGCCCTGATTCCTAACAGCTGCACAATTAGTTAGCAAGCTCTTCTCGTTGTGTCCCTGACCGAGGTAAGGCGCTTTTTGATGATGACATGGCTGCTGGGGTTCTTTGAGTCTCCCGGCATCCACTCCTACAAGCTGTCCGAGTCGCCTCCGATCAACACCACCAACTCAAGAGAGCCGACAGTGTTTCGCGAGGCCGGGTGGGTCAGAGTCGCAGTTTCGAGTTCAAGGTTTAGTCTTTTAGGGTTTAGGTTTAGGTTTCACTTGCATCGTGACCACTTAGGTGGAGAAGAACTTGGTGCATGAAGCAGGTGAGGTGAACACAATGTCCGAGCCGCATGAGGCCTGCAGTACGTTTCTGACTTCGAGAGGTATCTTGCTTGTTCTCGAGTCTGAAGTTGTCCATTGAGTCTGAAGATTGCAACTGCTCATGTGTAGCTTCCAGATACGGATTTACAAGACCTGGGCCAGGGAGCCACCAATGACACAGCAGGCTTCAGTGATCTGGCCACCAACTTGGAGTTCTTGCTGCTCAAGGTGGGTGGGGGCTTGAGTGCGATCCATGTTCCAGCATCTTGACGGCTCGGCATGTCTTCCCTCTTTCTCCAGAAACCCTCGCAGGTGGCACAACTGGAGACCGAGCTGAAAGCCGCGCATACCGAAATCGACACCATAAAGGAGCACGTTGGCTGTTTGACTGCACTCTCGGCATGTGTTCCTCACATTTTCACGTGTCAAGCTTTATTTGGAAGCTGCCAAGGCTTGGACGTCCAGCACGTTGCAATGCCGAGGAAGGGATTTCGTGATCCCAATGCAGCAACGGATGATCTCAAGAAGGCCTTAGGCAAGCACCACCATCAGCGCGAGACGCCCAACTACGATCCCAAAAACCACAAGGAGAGACGAGATGTCAGGTTCCTCCATAGGAGAGGCGCATTTTGGGACCTGTGCACTGCAACAGGACTCTGTGGCGGATACATCCGAGGCGCTCCTCGAACGTCAGGCACGGCTTATTGGGGCATTCTCAAGTGACTCAAGTGCTCAAGTCCCTGGCGAGATGCCTACTTGCACCGTGGCGTTTTGTAAACGGTTGCCCTTTCTGGCCAATCAAACTAAAGCAGTTGACTCAGAGGTAACGGAATCCGCAGCCAGAGATGGTAGAGCTTGGATGACTAGATGATGTCGGATAGTTGGCATGAAGGCAACAAGGTGCCCCATGACAAAACACAAGGCCTTATATGAGGGACACCCTTTGACAGTGACCTGCCTCTAGGACGAGACTTCAGAGAGGTCTTTGGATGAGACTGGCATCATCCCCATCTCCAGCAGTGGTCCCAGTATCCCATTCGATCTGGGCTGCAGTGGGAGGGAGCCGCACGCTTCTGTGGACGGCCACGAGCTGACGATCAACTTTGGCGGATTCAATTGCTGGCTATCGGTTGCCGGCACCCGGAGAAACATCAACCTGCCATTTGGCAGCAGAAAAGTGACGCTTCCGCATGCGCCCCCTCTCTCGCACGAGCTGCAGCGGGCTGTCTCGATGATGCGTGATCTTCTGAGAGCCGAAGGCTGCAACACAGCAGACATATTCCACTGCATGGCCAAGAAAGTGGCGGACCGCCTTTTCGCGCCACCCATGACTTTTCTGCCAGACCAGCTAAAGACTGTTGTCAATACGGGCCGGGACTATGTCCAAAGGATGATGAACATGATGATGGATCTTGGCATCCCGGCGGACTGCGATCCAAACAACCCCATTGAGTGCATGACCGAGAAAGTGGCGGACCAGCTCTTCGCGCCACCCATGACTTTTCTGCCAGACCAGCTAAAGGCTGTTGTCAACACGGGCACGGAGAGCGTCCAAAGGGTGTTGAGCATGATGACGGATCTTCTGAACACAGCCCACTGCGATCGAGGCAACACCTTCGACTGCATGGCACAGCATGTCTTTCACTGGCTGCCCCAGCAGTTGCACACAGTTGTGAATGCGGGCCAGGAGGGTGTCGACAGGGTCTTCGCGATGATCCGTGATCTTCTGAACACAGCCCACTGCGATCGAAGCAACACCTTCGACTGTATGGCACAGCACGTCTTTCACTGGCTGCCCCAGCCGTTGCACACAGTTGTGAATGCGGGCCAGGAAGGCGTCGACAGGGTCTTTGCGATGATCCGTGATCTTCTGAACACCCCGCACTGCGACAGAGGGAACGTTTTCCACTGCATGGCCAAGCGTGTGGCAAGCTATGTCATGCAATTCGAGCCGCCGCTGAACTCGATGCCTGGTCCGGTTGTCGTTCTTGCAGGCTCGAATGTCAACTCCGTGAAGAGCTTGATGGCCATGGGGGATGACCTGACGCATTGCCAAAACTTGGAGTCCGGCCATGAAGTCATGAAATGCCTAGGCTACAAGATCATCGAGCGGGTACCTCCTCTGAGCTACCTGAACCAGCTAGGTGACGTGATCCCTGAGTATCTCGAGACCTTCGCCAAGGCGGCCACTTCCTTGGCAATGAAGGCTTTACGGGGAGGCACTTCCCTTATCGAGAAGGCCAGCGTGTCCCAATTCCCGCCCGTCGGCAACATGCCGGTGCGGCACCAGCAGGGGAATCTGGTCGTGGAGGTGCACTCGCAAGAACTGCATCCCTCGCTGTTGCAGTTCTTTTCCGGACAGGAGAAGCAGGGAGTGCCAGTTCCAGAATTTGAGGATGGTGGTGATGTCCACCTCGCCAACTTGATCACCCAGTTCCATGGCAGGGAGGCCGATTCGGGCTCTTGCCTGGCCTTTGCACCCCGAACCAAGACCGGGGCCCATGTTGGCAACCACCAGGAGGCGACGAAAGACGACTGGACGACGGCAAAGAAGGAGGACTTCGTCCAGTTGGAGCCTTGGGCGGTGCCCTGCGACAACACCTGGATGAAGGAGAGGGATTTCTGGCCTGCATTGCGTGGCTGCATGTTGGCAAATCTCATTGCTATCACCAAGCTGTCGCGACTGTTTCCGCGGGAATATGCAGCTTCCAGAAATCTTTGAGTTCCTGAGTGCGAGAGCCTGAGTGCGTGAGAATTCGTGAGTGCATGTGCGCCTCGTGCGCTTGCCAGGAGAACTGGAACAAGTGGCAGGGGTACTCCTTCTACACGGGCGAGCAGGCCGTCGAGAAGTGCCTGACAGTGAAGTTCGCCCTGAACATCCAGCCTGTAGTGTCCGTCATCTTGGGCTTGAGTTTCGAGCTTCTGCCGGAAGAACTCTTCGAGGTGATCACCACGGTGTGTTGGCCGAACCAGTTTCCTGGTGGCCTCGACTTGTCCGTCCTTCGTTCGGAGATCAAAACCGCCAACCACCTGCTCTTCAGCCGGACCCTACGGCTCGCGAAGCGCTTCGGCAATCATACAGACTTTGCCAAGGAGAACCTGGGCACCGGATACGAAACCTGGAGATCATCGCTTGGTATCGATAAAGGGGAGAGCGGCAGTGCGATCGAAGCCATGTCGCTTGTGGACAGCAACCGTAGTGAAGTAAGCGGTGGTGCAAAGACGGAGTCCTGGTACTGGAGGACAGAGCCCGAGGAAGTCTACCTGGCTTCCATCGACTATGGTGACTCCATGGAGCCCAACAGGACCTGGGAGGTGCGAGGAGAGGATGCCATGCTTCGATTGAGCGAAATGCAGGAGGCTCGCAAGCAGGACCGGGAGGAAGTCATCGAGCTCTTCAACTTGCAGGCGAATTCGGGAAAGTCGAACTTCCACATCCAAGGCCTCCTCGACGGCAACGTCGTAGAGATGGGTGTCCAGATGGGTTTCGGACCCTTCCAAAGCCCGAGTCGGAGAGTTCCTTTGGCTGACATCGGAGTGCAGTTTGCTGCCGTCCTGACCGCAATCCCTTGGATCTCTGTCGAAACGAAGAAGACTGCCATCGCAGCTTTGAAGGACTTCTGGCCAGGGCACGACGTGCTTGTGGGGCCCGAGCCAGCTGACAAGTCTTCCATGGTGGCCTGGTTCAAGAGCGAAGATGCCGACTCAGCTTGGAACAGCTCCGTGGGCAGCTGGCAGGCTCATGTGACGAAGGGCAGCGTCACGAAAAAGGTCGAGGCCGGACACGGCGCCACATATCCCGTTGTCTACCTCACCGGCGACACCAACACCGGAATAGACTTCGGCCAGATTATGAAGCCGGACTTCACCATCTGCTCCGTCACGCGATACCTCGGAGGAGAAGGAGGAGCAAACAAGCAAATCCTCCAGCACGATCAGTGGCACTGGTTTCATGGTCACTGGCGGGGACATGTGGGGGTTGCACACTACAACCACTGGGTGACCCATCCTCAAGGTCCACATTGGCGGCAGCATCCGGGCTTGACTGGCTGGCTGGTGATGTGTGGCAACAGCGCGGGGGTTGTCTTCAGGGGCAAGGAGAGGAGAAATGTCGGAGAGACCGCGGCACTCAAGTCGCATGCAGATGCCCACTTGTACATCAACGAGGGCCGCCAGACCGGGGAGTCATCGGACTTTGGCGTCATGGAGGTCATCGTTTGGAACCGGGCGCTCTCGGAAGATGAGATGTGGACCAGCATGGAGTACCTGAACGCGAAGCTCGGGCCCCTTGAGCGCCAACCAGCTGACCAGTCGTCCATGGTGGCCTGGTTCAAGAGCGAAGACGCCAGCGCAGCTTGGAAAAGCGCGGTGGGCAGCTGGCAGGGTCGCGCGACGAGGGGCAGCCCCACCAGAAAGGTCGAGGCTGGCCACGGTGCCAAATTTCCGGTCGCATACCTCGCCGGCGACGTCCACACCGGATATGACTTCGGCCAGATCATGAAGCAGGACTTCACCATCTGCTCGGTCACTCGCTATGTCGAAGGAGGAGTACAGAAGAGAATTCTCCAGCACAACCAGCCGAACTGGCTTCATGGCCACTGGGGTGGGAAAGTGGGGGTTACGCATTACAACACGTGGGTGAACGAGGAGGGGCAGCTCACGGGCTTGACCGATTGGTTGGTGCTGTGCGGCAACAGCGCAGGGGTTGTCTTCCGAGGCCAAGAAAGGAAGAACCTTGGACAGCACACACCGGTGAAGTCAAGCCCAGATGCCCACTTGTACATCAACGACGGCCACTTTACGGAGTCTTCGGACTTTGGCGTCATGGAGGTCATCGTTTGGAACCGGGCGCTCTCGGAAGACGAGATGTGGACCAGCATGGAGTACCTGAACGCGAAGCTCTCGCATCGGCCTGAGTCGGCCTGAGTCCGTCTTCGGAGGCTTGGCGTGTCCTTTACGGTTGGCACCAGCATCGAGCATCCTTGCAACCGGGAAAGCATGCCTGAGGCTGGCTTTGTTTGAGTGCAGACGTGACAAGGTAGACAAGTTTATGGTCCTTGATCCTGCACGTACTCTGTCATGCTGGCATGAACTCCGTCGCTCTCTCTCTCAGCGAGAAGTAGCTCTTTGGGTTGCGGGCGCAAGCTTGCGCCCTGATCTCTCCGAGACAGAGAGTGGTTTTCTGCAGTGCTCAAAAAAGGAAGCCGGAGAAAGCTGATTGATCCCTAAGCCATCTCAGGGGTTGAAATCCCGGTGTTATGCGTTGGAACGACAATTCACGAAGCGCACCGATGTCTTGAGAGCCATCCAGAAATATAGCCTTCCTTTTCCAAGTTGTCGCTTCTTAAACGGCCCGAGCTTTCGTTCTGTTGCAGCCGCCGGGCCATGCTTAGAGACTGGCGCGGCTGCCTGCTCAGTCTCTGGCTTTGGCTGGATGCTCCATGCTTGGATGGAAAGCTTGCCAGGGAAACGCTAAAAAGGGGCCTTACCACCGTCGCCTGGCAAGCAGATGTGCAGGAACGTTTCAGAGTTTGGGAGCTTCCGCTGGAGTTGCCACGGAGTTTGCAGAGGGAGGCGGCAGTTTGCATACCCGTGACATCAACACCAACACTCTCAAAAAGACTGGCCCTCGAAGTCACCTGCAATGGTAACAGTTGCAACATAAGTAAGGCTGCCAACAGTATCAACAACATCAGCCATACAAGCGCGGAGACGTATGCATGAGAGAATGCGTTACTACTAGTAGCAGAAGTGGCAGCAAGCGGGTGCAAAAAGGATCAACGTCAACGGCACCACAGAGCAATGACAGGTCTGCCTATCAGCATGGAGAAAAGCTAGCTGCAATGGACATACTTTCCTCGTGAGAAGAAAAACAACAGTAATAGAGTCATACGTACCATAGGTTGATAACAGTATGAGCGGCAACAGCGGGAACGAAAAACACATCAGAGGAGGACCAGCAAACACGCAGTGGCAGTAACATCATAATTGTCGCATGGCAAAGCATGCAACCTGGGTGCAACGGTGGCAACAGGATGAGCCCCCGAGCTGCAAGGTGAAATTCAAGGAGGACATCGTTGACCTCTTCTCCTCGAAGTAGGTGCTGGAAGAGGCTCAACAACTGCCGCGTTGGCTGTCAACTTCGCAGTCGTTGTGGCCATCGAGAGATATTGGGACCTGGCAGATGAACTTGGATGATGTCACTTGGAGTCGAACAAGCTGCTCCGAAAGGACGGAAGTGAAATCACCAACATTGTGCGGCTTCATATTGGACAGTCTGCTTCCGTTTGCCCTCGCAAATTTTTTGATCAGAATTTTTCAGCGGTGGTCATCGATACCCAGCACGATGTCGAAAGCATAGCAACTGAGAATTTCCATGTCTTGCGCGACATGCCGTGCTGTGTGGAGACCATCATATATCACGATTATTGTTCCGAAGATGTGTTTCAGACAATTCTGTGGTTCGAGCTGTCCGGGCTGCTCACTCAGAAGTTGCTAGGTGGCAATTTTGCTCGCTTTTTCAACCACGACCCAGGTCCCTCAACCCGCAGCCCCAAAACCGTCAGCTACCGTCAACCCAGGTTCATGGGGGAGCCCTCGAACTCCCCCTTCTGCAAAAGCGCCGGGGAGAATCTCGAGAGAGCTGAAGGGGTGGCAATGAAGGTGAATCGAAGGCCTCAGAAGGACCGTCGAGTTTTATCATTGCTCCTGTCAATATCGTTTATAGTTTTGAATTCTTATTCAGATTCCAATTCCCATATTGGCATTGGTCGTGCTGCTACAGCTTGCTACTGACGCTGTTCTGTTCATTGCTGTTGATCCTGTCCTTGGTATGGTTGGTTGAGTTGGTTTGACGCTGTAGCCGCTTTCGTCAACAACCCCAAAGCATGTTTGTCATTGTCGTGGCTGGCTCTTTGGGGCCTTGTGCCCGAGATACAGGGTTTAGGAATTCAGGGTTTCAGGGTTCCTAGACCTAAAGCTTGCCTTAAAGCTTCAGGACCTCATAAGGCGTGTTAAACCCCGCCCAAAATTTTTAAATCTTGGCGCATTTGGCAAGGACCCTAAACCCTAAACCCTGAACCCCAAACCCTAAACCGCAAACATTTCCAGGAAAAGGTGGAGGACACTTTTGCTCACTGGAGCAGAGGCTCCGGTCCAAAAAGAGTCAATAGGACCCCATTATGGCCCATAAGGGTTTAGGCTTTAGGGTTGGATGTCGCTGCGGGCTCTAGGGGTATTCGAAGTTGTGAAAGGGTTCTAGAGGCCAAAGCCTTGTGGGATTATCTGAATTTCGGTTTGGGAGTCGGGAGTTTCAGAAAACAGATGAAATCAGCGGCTTGAATGAGACCTTTGGTGCGATCCTCATCGACCCCAACACCCTAAACCGGGAACCCCGAACCCGGAAACCTAAACCCTAAACTCTTAAAGCCGCAACCTGTTTAGAGCCCTTGACATTCAGGGTTTTTAGGGTTTAGGGTTTAGGGTTTAGGGATTAGGGTTTAGGTTTAGGGTTGAGCCCTGGACAGGCTGAATGGAACCCAGTGGCTCCTCTTTTCGCCACATTCGTCCATCGGAGTCCTGACCATGCATTCCTGGCCCTCCGGAGGCTCTGGGTTTGGGGTTTGTCTGGGTCCGGGTTTTAGGGTTTAGGGGGGATTTGGGATTTAAGGTTCAAGGGGATCCAGGGTTTAGCACAACACAACAGGGACACTGAGAACAGCAGGAGTGACAGTGAGAAATGCCATTGGAACCATGCCCCGATTCTGGATATCTTCTGGTTGGGCTGCGTTGGTGCCGCAGTGCAATCTGCGGCTTCGTGGACTGTGACATCGACAAGAGCGGGTAGTTGCATGTTCGGAAGAGAGAATCGCAGCAGAATCGTGCTTGTGTGGTTATTGCCTTGCATGTTCGATACTGTGTCGGCTCCAACAGCGCAGGATAAGAGGCGACAGTTTAGTGATGGGTTGTCCAAGCTGCGCAAGACAATCTGGGAAGACATGTTGAACGGGACCTTGTCAATTCGAGTAGGGTCAACAACAGTTCATGTGGCGTGGTTGCAGAACAAGCAGGGCGCTTTGGGTATCTTAGTGTGATGCAGCCATGGTGTATTTCGAGTGTGGATTGCCAGATGCTCAGAATGCAGCGATGCCTTGCCGTGTTGCGTGTAGATTCACAATCCCTGCTGGCAGGTGCAACGAAACGGCATCTCGATCGCGATAAGGCAGTTGTGGGTACAATTTAAAAGAGAGTCTGTCTCGCAGCCAGAGCAGTCTTGTTGATGACAACACGCTTCTGGATGACCAAGTGAGCGCACATGCACTTGCGCTTAGCAGCGCTTTCATTCACTGGATGGGGTTTCGTCCAGCGGGTGCGACTGTACGATGATGAAAAGCAACCTTGTCCTTGTAAGGATGCAATCGGTCTGGAAGTTTTATGGAACTTCGATGTATCAGCAGTTTTTGCAGCAAGCAAATCAGTGTGCACACATCGCATGCGAGTTTAAGCCACCCGCCAAGGTCAAAAAGCCAAAGCTGGCGCAGCACTTGCAAAGAAAGGGCCTTTGCCGGGACATGTCACCGTGGTCTTAATGTCGGTCCTTGCAGTTGGATGCAAAGCTTGTGCTTTACAAGGATGTGGGAGTTGGACGGTGAGTTGCATCGATTGTTCCAAGGCGCGCATTCCACAGTTTGTGTTGAAAATTCACACACTCGCTCTTCAGTGCAGGTTTTCGCTTGGGACGAGTGGCAATCTCACACTAGCTGCGTATCAGAGGCACAGAAGTATCAGGCCCGAGAAACAGATCGCATTTTTCGATCTGCAAAGTCCTGTCATGCTTGTTTCAGTACTATGCAGAAACTGCAGCGGAGTCGGAACAGTGTGAGCAGAACAGGACTGCGTCTTTGTTGCTGCCAGGGGAACCTTTTCCAGGCCAAAGAGCACATGCCCAAGTTGGTGCCGAGAAAAATTCGAAGAGAACATGTTCTCAGAGGGCAAGCTGCATCTAGACAAGAATGCCTTCAGGAGCAGCAACAAAGGGCAGCTGAAGCAAGATTCTTGGGTCTGTGACTCAGCTTGCCGCCTGGTTCTTTTTCGGAACCGGTTTGGCGACGGCTCTTGATCTTTTGACTTGGATATCCAGGTTGACGGCGTGCGGCGAGCAATCGAAGATCCACAAACGGATGTTGCGCCACAGATAAGGCAGATGACAACATTGGAAGGTTTTGTAGAGATCTCTAGAGTCTCTAGAGTTGAGATGGACTTGCCATGACATGTTTGTAAAGTGAATCCGGACGAGGAGCTTGGTGCAGAAGTTGCTAGGCAGCCTGGTTGCAAGATATCGGAGTCAGCAGGTACAAGTGCGGGTAGAGTCAGATGCGATTGCTGCCTGTTTGGCTGGCTGACTTTTTGCTTGAGCTCGCTGATGTTTCTTGAAGCCGTGCACTCAGGCTTTGACAATATCCCTAGAAAGCAGAAGGCCTTCGGTAACTTCGCGCAAGCCCCAGCTGCGCTTGCGTTCGCAGAACACATCCCATTTTCTCCGAAGCAACAGGTCAAGAACTCCTTGAAGGTCTGGGATGAATCCAAGTTGGTGACTCGGATGGATCTTGGAGCAAGGCGGCTTGCCGTCTTGCCGAGGATTGATGCCATGTGGAATGTGATAGCCTCTGCGAACTCCAAGCCGGTTGACGCAAAGCCATCTGGCAGAGCTGGCGTGTCCCAATTTTGCTGGCCAATGCGACTGCTAAAGCTTCCAGAATGTCAGACCCAACTGCGCCAATCAAAGAGAAAAGCCGTTGAAGGTTCTTGCGTGACAGGACATGCAGCAACCGAACCGGCGAAGATGCCGAAGGCACGGGAAGGGCTGCCTGGAGGGGCGCATTCGCGTCCTGCGCTTCCCAGGCGAAAGCTTGGCCAGGCAGGGCGCTCAATCTGCCCGGGCGGCTATGGTTCCTGGCATGAAGTCCGAGTGTTTTCGAGGTTGGAAGCGTGCAATTGATGAAGAACTAACCTCGGGCGCGATGCCCTGGAAGCGTCTGTGGTGTCCTCGGGTGACCATTCAAAGCAAAAACGGAAACGGGGCCTCAAGGTTGAAAGAGTGTAAGATATTCCTCTCCCAGGTGCGCACGTGTCGTTGAACGATATCGTGAGAGTGGCCACGCTGGTGACAATGACGAGCTTGAGCTGCAGGACACCGCTAAACTTCATGTGTAGTGCAACCTTGCAGCCGCATGCGTGTACGGGGAAGTTACGCAGGGCGATGGATCTGAATGATTCTGGCTGCTTGTTAAACTTGCAGGCCCTGAGCAGCATTCCTGAGGGAGAGCCTGCCCTGTTTTGCTCCGAATAGTGCATGGCGGTCCTCAGGAGGGAAGTCACGTGTCCGTTGTGCATGTGTGATGGCAGACTACTGCTCTTCGAAGACCCCAGATGCACAGCCCTTACTCTTTATTCGTGATCTCGTGGTGGACGACACCTTCCTACTCGGGTACCACCTTAACCAGGTCATGCTCTGCACCAGCTGCACCTTGTCGCACAAGCTAGGATGATTCCGGGACAAAAAGATGGGGTGCATGGGTGGGGCAGCGCACCTGTTTGCATGTGGCCGGAATGCCGTCTTCTTGCAGATCTGCTCAAGCTCATGCTTGGATTCACTTCAACATGATTCAGTTTGATGAAAGTTCGTAGTCTTCTTCCCCACAGACCTTCATGTGTAGGCTGTCATGGTTCGGACTGGATCGTAGGGCTGGCTCTGTGGCCTTATGTCTTAATTTAAATTCGTAGCTTCTTTGGCATAGCGTGCCAAGAAATGTCTTTGGCCAAAGTTGAAAGTTGGATACGTCCGGAGATGTCCTTTGCTGTGCGGAGGTCCTGAAGAAGCCTCATAAACTCCTATAAAAGCTCCAGAGAAAGGGCTATGTTTTCTGAGTCGAAGATGTAGAGCCAACGCTCCGTCGCCTCATGAGACCCAGCCCAGCACCTGGAGCTGTCATTCGTGTGAAGATCAGATTTTTGCTTTGCCGAGGTTTGAAAGCTGTCCGCTTGTCAACCTTGCACCTCGGCAAGTTGGCTGCTCTAGAGCCGTGCGGGCCAGGGCTGAAGATGACTTGAGGCTGCGTGGCTTCGGCTTGTGTCCTGTCGAGATCTCAAAACAGGAGCCGCACAAGAAGTCGGAATCAACCAGTGGATCCGACATGATGACCATGGTCTTGCAGGAGTCGAAATCTGCAATTTCGTTCCTCAAGGCGGCGTACAGAGACAAAGCCAAGGCCCACTCGTCTTTGTTAAGATAAGTAGGGCAAAGCGAAGGTGAAACCTTACGCTTGGATCCAGGAGCAGCATCCTGATCTAGCTCCCCGTGATGAACAAGCTGAAGCTGAGAAAAAGTTTGTCAAGCTGAGCACAGAGTTCAACGAGGCATCTCCGGTGGAGGGTTTCATCCTGCTCGAGCATAGTGACAGCTTTCCCATGCCACCGCTTGCTGTGCGCTTCATGCACTGTCCCCGCTTGTGGTCTGAAGGCTGTCAAGCTCCTTGAAGCAGGGGCTGTTGCCTCAGTGTAACGTTTGTCGTTTAAGCAGGTCTCCACTGATCCGTGGTCTGAAAAGAAGGTTCAGCCTGTAGAGCGGGCACGAGTGGTCGACTTGAATCCAGGTGCAAGATCGTTGGGAGGTGAGGGCCTACGTGCAGCCCGGCTTCGTTTGTCCTGTCAGGTGCGCAAGCTGGTGCTGCTCATGCTGCATGGCACCCGCACTTCCAGTCTTGTCACCCAGAAAAGGAGGGACAGGACGAGCAGCTTTGCACGACTCAATCTATTGCCCCAGGTCTGCCGATTGGCGGACCGTGAATCGACAGTTTGTGTAATTCGTCTGCAGATCGGCCACGTTGCTCCTGACACCTTTGTGACAGACTCAACTGATGCATACTGCTCAGGCATTCGGAGCAGCCGAAGTTTGATACCTATACTCGGGTTCAGCTCTTGGTGGCTGTGCCAGCACCCAAAATGTGTCACAGCAACATAGGAGCGGTTGCGTGCCGAGGTGAAGGGCCATCTAATTGTTTGGAGCAGCGCATTTATTTTCTTCAGTCTTTTGAGGCGCAGTCCGTTAGTCCATGTTTTCCAACCCTGTCACGTTGCGAGTCCACGACAGTGCAGCACTAGCACCTTCTCGTGACAGCCCCGTGAATTAGCACGGCGGAGGATATGTTTGACACTGGTTAGAGCCTGCTGAAATCGCGGCTCCGTCGGAGCTTGTTTTGGCGAGGGTTCGCGTTGCTGGTTCACTCAGGGGCAAATGGATGGCCTTTCCGGCATTTCTGATTCTTTATTGTGGTTTCAGTCTTTCCGAATTGATCCTTTTGCGAGTTTGTTTGTCTCCTGTATTTCTCCTCAGCGACTTTTCGGGTTGGCTCTCGGGGCTGTGGAGCTCAAACTAAAGCATTTTCAATTCGATTTTCGGGTTTAGGGACGGCATTCAGCCCCATCTTTGTTAAAACGAAAGCGACGAGTGTTTTGCGGCCTTGGGAAATCCATTTGGGCTTGGTCGGTGGCTTCGAGAGCTCAGTTAAAGCCTCGGGAGTGAGGGCAGGGGCACCAGCAAGGCTGAAACAGGTCTCAATGCATTTTCCAAGCTTTGTTTTGGCACCCTGAAACCCAAAGCACAGCATTTTCTGTTCGAATTTCGTGGAAGCAGCTTTTGAATCGGTCGGATGCTTCAGGAGCTCGATTTGGGTTCGGGGAGTGGGCCACCATGAAACAGCTCTACATACGTCTTCCAAGCCTTGAGAAATTTCAATTTTTTGTTTTCTGGAAGCCAAACTGGCCAGCGGCTGACCCAACACGATTCCCCATGGTTACGCTTCCATATACCGAGTCCACTCGGCTTCAAATTCCGTCCCAGCATTGGAGAATCATGTTTGAAGCCTTGTTGAAGCCGGCCTCAAATTGGCTTCGAATGCCCTTTCAGTATTGGGGAGCAGAATGCGATTCCCCAGTACTTGGACGGGCATGAAGCCAATTTGAGGCCGGCTTCAACAGGGCTTCTGAAGCTTAGGCTTCTGATTCTTAAACATCTTGCCAGGCCATGTCGGCTTCAGCAGATTTGTACCCGCGAGCTCCAGAGCCGCGTTCGACCCGTCCCGCCCACCCATCCAAAGCACCCAAACCCGCAGCTTTCCAGCTCCAGACCCGGGTTTGCAGCTCCAAAGCCACATTCCAGCTCCGGCGCTCCACTCATCCAAACCGCTTCCACCCATCCAAAGCCGTGTGCCATCCATCCAAACCCGCGGCACCAGTCAAGAGCCATGTTCCGCCCATCCCAACCTCCAAACGCACAGGCCCCCTCCATAGCCGTGTTCCACCCATCCAAACCCGCGGGCCCCCAGCAAAATGCATTTTCAAGCTTCCGACAAAGCCGAAAGGCATTTTCCAAGGCCTGCTGAGCGCACTTGGCCCTGGTTTCAACAAATCTGGACTCTCAATGCCGTCCCTGAACCCGAAGATGTAGCAGTGAGATCCCCTAGTTTCGGACTTGTCTCTAAGCCGTGCCTGCCTTGAGCGAGTGCCCGAGTCGAAACCCGAGAATCGCGCCGAACTTGCGTTAATATGCCTTCCAAGCTACTTGAAGGTGCAGTAATGGGCCGACAGCTAGCTGTCTGAGAGAAAATAGTTTCGTGGATTTAGATGCATTTTGAATGTTTTCAAGTCCTACGTTTTGAGGAATTGATCCATTGGCAGGACACTATAACAAACCTTTTATTTTAGCATGTCCCTGCTATCTTTACGTCCATACTGTTTGGGGTTTTCGCCGGCGGGCACTATAATCTTTTTGTTGTTTGCTTATCTTGTTCTTGTGCGCACAGACGTTTCTGTCAGAACCGACTGCGTTGTACTTTCAGCCTTGTGCATGTTTCGACGATGAAGCTCGGCATGACAGCAGATAAAGAGTCGACATGATTCGTTGTCAATGCTATGAGATGACCCCATGTCGGCGTATCGCAGTAACAGGGTTAGAGACACGCAAGACCACACAGCACGTACAGTACACGCACACACACACACACACGCACATTAACACCGGCCGGCCGATACGTTCTCCAAACGAACCAGCAGTCCTGACGTGTGGATGTCGCCTTGAAAATGCTGCCGTGCCGATGCTGTATCCTCGATGAGGTTTCAGAGACGTGACTGAGAGCGGCACTCTGGATTCTAGATGTTGTCGATGTGTCCGATGCCTTGAGAAGAGATCCGATGCCTTGGAACCCGTCTCAGAGCAGAGGGACCGCACTCAGAACGGGCCGCCGCCTGAAGATGGCACAGCGCAGCCAACGCAGACATGGACGCCGTCACAAAGCGGGGGGCCGTTTTAGGACAGAGAGTGGGATGTGTACAAGCACGAACCTAGAACATGTTTCAGGGACATCAACTGTCGGAGGGCGGTGGGACCCCATGACCCACCCTCCTCTGTAGAGCGAGCATCTAGCGATGCCACACGCTTGAAAATCGCAGCTAAGGCAGACTTGGCCCTTTTTGTCCAAAGTGAACCACTTAGGGTGGAGGGTGGGATGTGCGCATGTACGAGTGCAAACCTGAGCTGATCAGATGCAGGACGCACTTGCCGAGCCCCGGTGTGAAGGGAGTCGTCTTCCCGAAACTAGCTCTGGCGCAGCACGACGCCCTGGTTTCGGCCGGAAAAACATCGTCAGACTAGCTGGAATCAGCACCCAACCTGGACATGCAGGGACAGCAGGTTGGAGCTCAGCAGGGACCATCAGATTGTGTATCTTTTCGACACCCCCCTCCGCAGCATTAGCAAGTTATACGACATGCCTTTGCAAAGCGCTCTTGGCAGAAGTGGAAATGATGTCAAGCAGCAGACATGCGTGGAGTCTGCTTTCGAGCTCACACCTCACACAGCCTCTCGATGCAGGGAATTTCTTGTGGGCACCGCGGGCGGAATGTGGGCATGGTATCCGCCGCAAGATTTGAACCCTTTCTGGGTGTCACGACCTGAGAGCAACCTTCACTGTGCTAGCCGCTGTCCCGCATGTTTGCCTCGTTCTCGCAAGAGGCGAAGATACCATGGTGCTTGGTCGGACAAGGACTCTGGTTCCCAACATTTTCCAACCCGGCCGCGTGTGTTCACGCGGCCCTGAGGACAAGCCCGAGAAGAGAGAGCAACAGCAGCCCTCGGGACTGGCGCCTAACACCCGCCTTAGCCTTAGCCCATCCTTAGCCTCCGTAGTCTCACCTGGCCAGGACCACCTCAGGTGAAGCGTGAGAAAGACCGACCAGTGTCGCCGTCCTGACCTGTTAATGCAGAGCGGTGCACCGGCCTGGCCCTTGCAGCCGTTCGTGACGCGGCCAGGGAGTTCTATGCCAAGCGACACGTGAGCAAGGTGCGGAAGAAGTACTCTCCAAGAGGCCTTCGTCGTGCTTTGTGTGCAATTCGTGCTGCGCAGCAAAAACGAGAGGTCATGGACCGAGCCTTTGAGACCAGGGTTGGACGCAGGTGAGTAGGACACAGCTTTCATCGATGATTCGATGCTCTGCTGGCTTTACTGCCGAAATTTTCAGCTGGAGATAATCTCTGCTTGCTTCGCTTCACGTCGTGTCAGCGTCAGCCAGCCGTAAAGCGAAAAAATAGGCACTTGTGCTATCTCATAAACACTTTGATGGCTTGTCAGGACATTTGCAGCAACGTGTAAGCTAGCCTAGCAGGAGAAGCATTGCCCAAGCCTAACAGAAACCGAACGGTGAATGACATCATGCCATGAGTCTTGACGACCCGCCAGAAAACATAGGTTATGGTGGCAACTGGCTTGGCACCCGCATATGGGCGAGCTGTGGAACTTGTACAAAGCCTCAGAGATGCTTGCAGGTCTGGAAGCTGTCGATGCAGATTCAAATCATCGTTAAGGCGATAAAGACATTTCGTGGATCATCTCCTGCCATTCGACAGTTGCCAAGTCTGGTTTTGCAGATCGCTGCCGCGCGGAAAAGTCCTCCAGTCCTCCATGTAACAGCCATTGCTACAAAGTCTTGTATGAAGCAGTCGCAGCGATGGATCCTGATAAGGGGCTCACAGAGCGGGGCTCCACATCCCAACAGAACGAAGTCCTGGTCGCCATGGCTAAGAGCTCAGTGAGCAGCAACATCTCCTTCGATCTTGGAGCATGGCCTTGTGATGTATCCTTCCTGTGATATAAATTGCTGGTGCTGCTAGTTGAGGCCACAAGAATGATTCGCTTGGCTGTGTCCTGCGCTGACATTGATCCGTGGAGTTGTTCTAGCACAGAGTATCCAAGCTGAGGGCAGCCATCCTGTCGATGGCGTTGGCGGATGCGACGGAACCGCCGGCGTGTTCGTCTCTTTGGAGCCTCCCAGTGAAGCTGCAGGGACTCCTGGCAGGCGCTTGATTCCAGCGGACGAGGCCAGGGTCAATGTTGTGATGGTCTTGGGCGTCAGAGCATGGAAAGCGGGAGAGGCAGTTAACAGTTGCGCACTGCATGGGTTCGTAGGGTGCGGTGCTGAGAGATGGTAGATAATGTCGAGTCGCTGAGCATACACCGTCGCTGCGAAACTTGTTGCAGCATCTGAGACACTGCAGGACACACAGATGATTTGATCGACAGCTACATCAAGGAATGCTGGTCGGTGCTGAATTCGGCTGTGCACTCCGTTCATGCCATGCCGTCATTCGTTGCGATAGGACCACGGTGACCAGGAGGCCACTATCAAATCAATGTCCCCGATGGCTAAGCAGAGACGACATGCAACATCCGTTTCGTGAGTGACAGGATTCTTCAGCAGAGTCGCAGCATGCCAGTGAGGTGCCGTTGAGACACCACCGTGTGCATGCGCTGTCGATTCTCTGTTGGGAGGAGCACAGATCGAGATCTGACAGCTCGGCACGGCCACATCTCCGTAGTCCTGCTAGCCTGAAGGATGCATTTCTTGTTGTTGCTTTGGGCACTGCGTTCCAAGCAGGCTTGTAGCGTGCAGCAGCCATCTCTTTCTCTCTGTGCTTTCTGCACGGCTTAAGGCCAGACACATGACTCGAAGGCGCGGCTTCGAGCACGAACGGTGCTTTGCACCTGCGTTGCATCTGCAGGTGGTGACGGTAAAGTTGGACTCCGAGCTGCAGGCTTGCAGCTGCTTGCGTGGTTGTATGTTTACGAAATTTTTCTTCACAGTTTTCGGTTCGTCTGGGCTGAGCAGAGTATGCAGCACTATGCTTTCTGAGGTATCTGAAAAGGCATGATGCTGCGACGAGTGGAAGATGCCGGTTTCACACTGACTGTGGCAGAACAAAACATGCGGATGCAACGCGAGTTTGCCTATACATATTCTGCCCCTGCCCTTCCTGTGGAGAGTGGATCCTTGCCCTGCACTTACACAATCGCAAGCTGGCTCGAGGGTGGGGCTCAGTAGTTCAGCTTCATCAGTGTTTGAGTGGCCTCCCATGCCGATGGCGGCTAGGATGCAGGTGAGGTTTGTCATTTTTCGCTAGGGTTGACAAGGAAGACAAGTCCGTTCAGGGCTTGGGATGCGCAGCTTTTTTTTTCTGCATGGGCTTCGGGTCCATCAGGGTTGGAGACTTTGCCTTGGGTTTGGGTTCGGATTTCGGACTTGTAAGCCATGATGCCTGTGTTTTCGACAGATGTAATCCACGAGCAGCGTAAAGTTTGGGGCTTCGGCTTTGTCAGCCGTCGTGTCTTTGGGTTTAGGGTTTTGGCAGAATTGACTTTTGCTGTCTTCGGTTCTAGCAGCCCTAAGGCCCTGATGCCTCCAGGCCGAGGACGGTTCATGTTACATGTTCGGCTTAGGGACTATCGTGCCGTCATCCGACCGAAGTTTGTCGATGCCAGAACGGGACATGTGCGCACCCCCTGAAACATTGACTGCCTGCCAAGCCGAACTGCACAGGGTATTCGATATTGAGCCCAGTGATCGTGCAACGTCTACATAATCCACAGGCATCTAGACTCTGGACCCCGTTCTTTACGGTTAGGCCGTAGGGTTCCTAAACCCCAAATCCAAGCTAATCCAAGACTCTGAAGTCCGTGGCAGCTGCAAAAGGTATTGCTTTTAGTGCTTGGATTTTCGGGTCCAGGGTCTAAAGATAGAAGTCGGCGTGCTGGAAATGTCGTGTTGTTTTCATCACAGCGCGTGCTGCTACTACTTCCATTTTCTGTCACAGCAATGACTACGACTATAACTGTTGTTACTGTCGCTGCCACTTGTCATGATACCAATGTCTAGAATACTTGTCGTCATGCCATCGTAAGTTATCGCTTCCCTACTATTCCACTGTCTATTGCCGTCAATCTGTTGTTACCTGTAGTCCCACAGTCCTGCAGACGGTTTGGGGACCCTTCGCTATGCCAGGTCGTGACTTCTGCTAGAGCGGGGCATGCCACTCGCCAGAGCACGAATTGCGAGAAAACGGCGATGAAGCAAGGAAGGGCGAGTAGTTCATGGCAGCTTCCGGGTTTGCAGATGTTCCAGCATTTGGCGAAGCAAGGTCTTGGTTTGCTCATCGGGTCGCGGGCATCATGCAAGTGTAAGCTCGCTTAGCGAGGCTTTGAGACCCTGAGCGGGTAGGAGTGCCTCTGTGCGCCCCAACCATCCCCATCCCAAAGCCGCCGTTCGCACTGTGTGTCTTTGCGTTGCCTTGCGGTTTTATGGGCCTTTGCATTCTTGCCACGAACTTGGTTGACTTGGCCAAACCGCCTGCAGCAGTTTCTGCCCTCTTGTTTCGGGGTTTGGCAGGCGTGACCCATGTTGCCTTCGGTTCGAGAGGCATTAAAGAGGCTAGTGCCCTCGGGCCGAAGGTAGATTTTGAGGTTTGACAGTAAATGTTTCATGCTCTTGTTTGGGTTCATCATGCCGTCATAAGGGTTTGCACTTGTCATGTTGTTGTGCTTGAGGTTTTGGGGCTAGCTCCGGGTTTATCAACTGTGACCTCCGCTTGTGCTCCCTTCGGTTGTCAGCTTCGCTGTAAGAGTTATCTGCGCAGGATTTCCACTTCGGTGGGTGTTCGTGAAGAACTGTGAAACTACTGTGAAGTTGAGTTTCAGCATCAGTTTGCGGTGTGACTTTACCGTGGGATTGCGCAATGAGAGTCTCGCAGTCTTGTGTGACTTGATTACAAGCCTTTGCCAAGTCCTCCGGCACTTGTGAACTGTTTAGGGTTCCTCCGTTCCATGTAAGTTTGAATACCCACCACAGCAGGTTGTTGGCTTAAGTCAATCAGGAGTTGGATCTTAGTCGTCCGGTCATTCTGAGACGAAGGCAGCTGAATTCTCCATGCTTGATATCTGGCAGTCGAAGCACAGTTGAATCTAGGCGATGCAATCTCGCTTCATGCTTCTCCTGCCAGTCTCTTCGGCCAAGTATCTTGCAGTATTCATGTTGTGTGGTGTGCAGATCAATGTAAGAAGCTTGCAAAGGCCGTCAAAAGCCGTCGTCACAAAAGTGGAATTGTTCAAGTCGGTGGTTTTCGGGTCAGTTTTCAAGCAGCATCGCGCAAATAGAGCGCAGCAACGTAGCAGCTATGTTCGACTTTGACTTCGATTTGCTCGAGGAGCACCACCAGCCTGACGAGAGCAAATTGTGTAGCTATCAAATACTTGGGTTGGACGGTAGTGAATACAACATTACCCTCCCATCCAAAACTTGTGTACAAGAGGCAAAAGCCTCGCTGGAGACAGAGTATGGGATACCGATTCTGGAGCAACGCATATGCTGTTTTGAACGGTCTTCACGAGCTGAGTGATGATTCCAGGCTAGCTGCTACATGCCAGCTGTCCCTGGTGCGAGTGCAAGTGGACTGGCTTTCGCGATTGAAGAAAAACCCTTTCGACTTGTGCATTGCGCCGTTGTACATTCGGAATGACGTCGACATGGTCCGCCAAGCTGCTGAAAGAGATATATCAGCAGTAGCATACGCTGCCCAAGAGCTGCGAGCAGATGCAGGCTTCGCTTTGTCCATGGCCAAGAACAACGGTCATGCTCTTCGATATTTCAGTTCTGAGCTGAGACGCAACAGGGCCATTGTACTGGCTGCTGTGGAAAATGCTGGTTCAGCGTTGAGATACGCGGACGAAGCGCTGCAAGCTGATGAGGACATTGTGCTTGCTGCCGTCCGAACGGACGCCAAGGCCCTGATGCATGCGTCCCAAGAATTGGTTAAAGACGGGGACTTTGCAAAGAGGGTCGTGGCTAACAATCGCTTGGCAGCGGAGTATGTCCAAAGCCTCGTGCTCAACAGTAGGAGCCGGGAGTTGCGTCGAAGGCAGGAGGAGGACGACAAACAGCGCTATGAGCGAGACATTGAGGATGCAAAGATTTTCGTCGACAGCGCATTTCGTCTCTACCAGCGAGGTGTGATCTTTCTTGACGCACGATCCAATGAAGAGTTCGACAGGAGCCGCATATCTGGGGCACTGCCGTTTTCCGAGCAAACATCTATGCTTCGGCATGTGATCATGCAGAAGGGTATGTCTGTAGCATCTGCATCGGACCCAGTGATGCAATGTCTGCTCAAGTCTCCAGAACAGACAGTCGTTGTCTACAGCGATAGTGGTTCAGACGACATCAGTCTGGGATACATTAGTCGCTGCGTCCGTGTTGCTCAAGAGCTGCGTCGTGCATGTCGCCTCGAGCCATCTCTCGGCAGCAGCCACCGCGTGCGTCGGCTTGTTGGCGGGCTGAATCAATGGAAACGGGCCGGACTACCAACGGATGGTGAGCAGCGACCACTGATCAACAACAGCATTCTGCTGGAAGGGGGTATTCATGCCTGTTTGGGCATGGACCTTGCAGGTGACATGTAGTTGCGACGACACACAGGAGTTCACAAGGTCTTCACTGCTTGATCCTGCTATGCTGCCTAGCGAATCCTGCGGAGTCGTTTGAGCTTGTCAGATTCAGACCCAAACACTTTCAACTGCAAGACTACCCACCCAGCCATCTCAGTCGCATCTTTTGGCCATACAACTTGTTTCGTAGATCGGCTTGCGCAGTCGTCATGCAAGCTACGCAACCAGTCATGGCAGTGTGACACTCCTGTGTAGACAGCCTGCAGCGGCTCTTCATGGAATGTCAAGAAGCCATGAGCTCAGTTGCATCTTCTTCGAGTCTTCCTGTGGCATCAGGAAGTACATGTTAGAGCAGGTGGCGCAGGAATGGCAAGATTCATGTCCTCGTTTGCACAAAGCTGGAAGCTGACAGGAAAACCTCCGTATGAGAGAATCGATCGTGATGTTGCTCGGCGATACGAGCTCATTTCTCGTATCGGGCGGGGGTACCGGTCCAAGCTCTACATGTGAGACCTGTGCGGAGGGACCCTGCGTGCGAAGCTGTTGTCTCAGGTGCTATGGCGTCGTGTTTGAGGTCATGCTCCGGGACTGTGGGTTGAAAATGGGATCATTTTCTGTCTCTCTCTCTCTCTCTCTCTCTCTCTCTCTCACTCGCTCGCTCTGCCACGTCTCTCCACTTGACGTGCCTATGGGGGGGAGGATCCCACCAAGTTCGACAAGTTTGCCATGAAAAAGGCAGGTGCCCGAAGAAAAACAGTCGAACATAGTAGAACGTGGAGGCCTCACCTGTAAGCCGCTTGCTGGAACAAGCCGCAGTGTTTCACGGCTGTTCAGCACGAGCGCTTTGCAAGTCCTTCGCAGATCCCAGCTCGTATCCGAGCACTGCTTGAGTGCGGGACAGGTTCTTTACGCCTTCAACAACTCTACAGATGCCCAGCGGACGTACAGAGAGGCGGGAACGTACTGGTACGACAATCTGCCAGGGCAAACACAGGTCTCATTCTCTCCTGTGAAACATGGAGGTCTCATACCTCATGGAGTTCGGCAGCCACACGAACATTGTCTATGAGCCAGACTGAGACTTCGGACGTCTTTGGATCGGTGGTTGGGGCTGGGACCTAGGGGACGTAGCACGGCATGGTGAGGTGCATGATGTGCTCGTATCTGCGGATGACAAGCATCTCTACATTGCCTGCCTCCGAGTCTCCGAGTGCCGAGTCTTTGAAATTTGGCTTCATTTGACTCGTGGTCAGGTCACAGACTTGATGGAGTCTGACCTGTGCAGAGCTATCAAGTGCCGCGGCTGCTTTGGACGGTGTGCCGGTGAGCTTTAAGCTTGATCATCACTTTCAGGTGCAACTCTTTAGGCATCGTGCACAAGTCCCTCATCTCGTACCAAGTGCTTCGAGCTCTCAAGTACATCCACTCGGCGGGAGTCATGCACCGTGACCTGAAGCCCGGGAACATCTTCGTGGACCGAAACTGCCAGGCGAGTTCCAGCGCTGAGCGAGAATCGCTGAGGGCGCCGAGAAACTGACGTTGCCTGCACAGGTTTTGGTGGGAGATTTTGGGTTGGCCAGGTCCTCGTGTGGCCGGCATGATCGGTTTTCCCGGACAGCTGTCCTGCTCAGACAATTGTGCATCTCAACCGCAGCTGTCTTGACCAAAGCCAGCCGCGAGATGCTGGCACCGTCCTAGTATCCGCCTGGAAGACGACCATGTGGTCGAACTCCCATGTTTTGAATGAAGTCATACTGATCAGCGTGCCAGTTTGCTTGCCGGGTTTTGAAGCGGTTCGGGCAGAACAGGATCCTCATGGCTAAGGTTCTGGCGAGCAGCCCAAACCTTGCGTCGACATGCGACTCAGGCAACTTTGCGGAAGAGTGCCCAGGTGCCCTGCTGTCCCAAGCGCTTCGCTTTGCGCATATCAAAAAGACTAGGATGCTTTGTTGTGACCTGCAGCACGAGGCGGCGACAGGCCTGCCTGTGGGTGGAGGCTTGGACCAATGTTGACACATAGTAGCTTCTCGCAATGCTACTTTGCAACACCAAAGGCCTCGTGATCGCGGCGAGCATTGGTGCTCCCTGGCTAGGGCTGAAGGCAATGGCTGGTGGAGTGGTTGATATTTTGTTTCAGCAGCATTCAGCAGGTGACCCATGCGGACTCGGAATCGGCGTGGAGCAAGCACCTTGGTGAGGAGCCCCGAACTTAACGACAACCAAGACTCAGCCTCGCCTTGGCTGCGGCCGTGGCTTCTGCGGAGGACGCACGCTTACTGGACCTGAAGCGAGAGATGATGCTGGCAGGGAGATCCTTGGGCTGGTAGAAGCAGTCAGAAACAGCTTTGGTAGAATGCACACTCCGACATCACATCTTCAGGATCCGACAAGCAGTTCATTTGGCAGACCTGCACCGGGCCACGACGGATAGAGGACCGGAGCGACGCTGCCATTTTTGCCTTCCCGACAGTCGCAAAAGGACTGTCGCATCTTCCATTGTCGGCGTGGTGATGTTGATCGCGAAGTGTCTCTGGATGCGCCAGAAGCTGTGGAAGGCAAGACCAGAATATGTGGTGCTGCTTGGACTCAAGAGCAGTGCTGGGGAAGAGGGGCAAACTCTATACGCCTGCTGAATTGAGGGAAGAAGTTTCTCAGGTCATCAGAGTTGGTGACGCTACTTGCCGAAATTAGCCGTGCGAGACCCCAGTCGTCACATCTTCGGACGGCGTCTGGCCCCTGCCCAGGAGCTGAATGGCCATCCTGGCTTACTTCATGGCGGGTTCTCGGCGGCTGTCATCGACGACTTCACGGGTCTGGCGACCTGGTGCCTGGGCAGCTTGTCAATGTCGGTGCAGATGCACAGCTCCGTCACATCGTGACTCAGGATAGAGAAGGAAGCACAGGACTTCGCTTCCGTGGCTTGAGACAGGTAGTACTGTTGCATACCGGATTCTGATATATGCAGCAGGACTTGGGCAAGGACGCAAAGATCTTCACTGCCCATCTTGATCTTAGCTATCGGCGGCCTTTGAAATCCAATGCCGAGTACTTGGTGGAGGTTTGCGTGGATCGCGTTGAGCGCCAGAAGAAGCTTTACTGCATAATTTCCGCCATGACCTAGGTACAGCATAGGCTGATGACAGACATGGCACCAAGGAAAGTGATCCTGAATGCTGCGATCTACGACAACACTGACCATGCGTGTGTCAAAGGACGTGCGCTGTACATAATCAAAGCCTGATGACCCTTCATAGGGCTGGCAGCCGCAGAGGACTCGTTTGATAAGCCATGTCCGTGAAAACGATACGAGCCGTGGCAAAGATGTACGGAAAGCGTGGCTGTGTCCTACTCAGCCTGATGAAGAGCATCCGAGAGTGCAGAGGGCCTCCTCGCTCCCCGAAGATCGCCCCCGAAAGACTACTCTGCGAACCACGCCCCGAAATGGTAGGGTCAAGCACTCCCTTCAAGCCACCTGAAACCTTGCAGAACTCGTTTTTTATGCCAGGCCGATTGACCCCACCTCTGGAGCCAGCCTGGCTTCATTTGGGTTACTAGTGCACAGAAGGTGTACAAGTTATCGCAAAGACCTGCCCTTGCTGTTGCCCCGCAAGTTTGCCAGGATGGAGTCATGCTCGGCGCCCGGTGACATGGCGACCAAAGCCACCAAGAGGTCGGTTGCGTTGACTTGCAGGTTGACGGACTACATCGGTCCACGCTGGTCCGCCCCTGTGGGGATCTCTTTGTCTTGCCAATCGATGTTATACTCTACTACAGTAGAATATAGTATGATCTAGCAAAGCAATACTAGAATATGATGTTTTCCACAATGTCGCAGGTACCGGAGCCCAGAGCAGCTGCTCGGTGCAAGGCTGGGGAGGGGCCCTTCGAGGCGAGACTTGAGGCGAAGTCTTCCTCAGACCTCTGAGGTGCTACTTCACAGCAGTGGACATCTGGGCTTGGGGATGCATCGTTGCGGAGATGCACCTCGGGGACCGCTCTGGGCAGTGAGCGGGCTGGTGTGTGGTGTGTGGAATTCCGCCTTCCAAGTCGGGTCCCGGCAGAAACCCATCCTCAAGGGCTCCTCCACTATCGACATGATGCACAACATCGTCTGGCCCTCGTCTCCAAAGCTGCAGAAGGGGCTGAAGGGGCCCCCGCCCGATCTCTTCGCGCCGCAGGTCGAGCTTCTGGGCACTCCCTTGGAGGCGCGCGGAAGTGTCCGACGTCGTGTTCAATCAAAACACTGTGCCAAAAGCAACAAGGAGCTTATAGAGATCCCTTTCTAGCAGCCTTATAGTGCCACGAATCTCCCCCTCTCAGGCGGATGTTGACGCCATGCAAGTCCGTTGCCGAGGTAGTTGGTGCTCTAACTTGGGCAACCTGTCACACGCAGAGTGCTTGCAAATGGGGGAGGGCCGGGGTAGTCAGCTCCAAGGCCCAGTATGCGCACATGTCCCTTCAGCAGCTGCCCATTTCTCTGCCGGATCCCCAGCACCGAATCCCTCCGCAGAAAAGGCGGCAAAAGGAACTCGCCGCATCTCAGGCCGACCGTGGCTTTCGCGGAGATCATCCCAGACTGTTCGCAAGTTCTCTGCGATCTTCTGGAGCTCTGCTTCCAGGCCGAACAAGAGTACTATTCTGGGCGCACTATTCTGTACTTTCAAGAGAACAGCGACCAGTGACATCTTCACATCTTTACTTTGGTCCACTGCAGTTGTTCTGGAGCACAGCTGCTTAACTGATATGTATTGTTCACTTCATATTAAGAGAGGCCCCCCCACCCCCCCAAGGATGCCCCAACCTCCGTAGTAAGAGTCGGGATCCAGATTCAGATAGAGGCCCCAACAGCCTTCAGCTTGCTTAAAAGCCACCAGAACGCCGGAGCCTTTTAGCGCCCCCCCAAAGCTTCCAGAAGCTTGTCAAGGGTCCAGAAGCCAGAAGTGTCACAGCTCTGCTTAGAGCCCCGGAGAACCCCAGGAGCTTGAAAGTACACGGGGCATTCTAAAATACGAGGTTGATATTCTGTAAGTATTATAATTATAGTTATTGTTATTATCATTATTAGCTATGATCAGTGGCCGTGGTTGCAGTGTCTCCCTGGCCAGTGGAATCCGATGAAACGGCTGACTGCGGTGGAGGCTTCGAGCAACTTAGTGCAGAGAGTTCTGGGGCTTTGATCGTGCTTCAGCTGGTGCGCAATCCATTCGAGGCTTAGGGTGATGCAAAGGCCAATCATGCGAACTGTCATGGCAGGCACTGCGGCATCCGTTTCTGTCGGCATTTCACGATCCGGATGCAGAACCTGTTCATGACTCAGATATTCGAGTTGCCGGTGTGCCGCCTTTCTTCTGCAACTCTTCCTTTGGACGAGCAAAGCCTATGCCCACACCGGCCATTCCAGGTGTTCGGCCATCGGCTTGAACTTACACTGCCAGACGGCTTTGAACTCACAGTGCCTGATGCACCTTGATGCGCGTGCTTGAACATTCCGCACTGCTGAGGCCACAAGTTCTCGACGTCGCAGTATCGCGATCAGGACAGTGCAGTATTGTCACAAGATGACTTGCTCGTTCTCTTAAACATGGCTGCGAACCATTCCAAAACCGATTGAACTGGTCAGATGTATGCAGACATCATCGGGCTTGAGAAATCCAAGCTTCGTGTGGACGCAAGCCCGGCACGTTCAACGGTTCAATGTTCCGATGCTGTCCGAAACCGAAACTTCCGTCGGCATGAGCCAGGAAACCAGAAAAGCTCAAGCTCTCCTGGAGGAGCCCGCAGTGCTTCAGTGTTAGTCCAGAAGCCCTGGGAAAGTCAGAGATGCCTAAGCGCGCAAGGCCATGGAAGAGCAAGACATTCCCTGACCCGGCGAAGCCCCTGAAACACGGCAAGAGTTTGCCTTGGGTAGCTTGTGGTCCACCAGACTGCCAAAGATGCAACGAGACTGCTGCAGTCGTTGGAGCCAAGTAGGTATGGAAGCCTGTGCTTGAGATCGCATGCTGAATCCAAGCTTTGCATCTCAATGCATAGACATGTCAGATGCTGTCGGATAATGCGCAGGTCTTGCTGGTGTTTGCAACAAGCGGTATTGTGCTCGTACGAGCGTAGTTTACGCAAGTCACTAGGCTAGCTGCCAAGTGACAAGTCCCGTGTTGCAAGCGCTGTGCAAGCAAAGGCTTGCAGATGGGCGCTCTGGAACAGAGCGGCCCGTCTATGTAGCTGCTACGCGTTTTCAAAGGTAACGACTGCTGAAGCATGCTGAAGCTAAGGCTCTGTTGTGCAGCTGGCAGATTCTGAGTTTTGGCCACACTGCGATTGCTCTTGCGCTTGTTTTCATTCTGGGATCTGGCCCAGCGGAATCCCGCAGCAGGTCAACATGTTGGGGAAGGGCCTGTGATTGCAAGCACATATGAGGAAACATGCAAAAGCGGTTTAGAAGCTTGGAATAGTTTGGATCTATTTTTCATATCCTCAGAGAGCTGTGATACTACGCAGTAGGGAGGGCCATGCTAGTTCGTGGGAACGTGGTGGAAGGCCGGCAAGGCCGGCAACTATGCGGCAGGCCGAGATGGCCAGCCACTGGCCAGAGAGCGAATTGCTGTGGCCCGAGTCTGCAAGCGGATATCCCTCGGAGTGCCTTTTGGTCGCACTTCGTAGTCGGTAGCGTGGGCGCAGGTGGTGTAGCTGCGGGCTTGAGCCGATGCAGCCAAAGACGGCACCACCAGCAAGCCAGGGCAAAGCATCTGGCTTGCGTAGCTCGAGTTGCGGATCAGGCGAATGCTGTCAAGGGGTTTATTGACTGGATGGATGCATCAGGGATCGTGACCTCGAAGAAAATCGAAATCTTGCCAGACCAAGAGGGAGGTCGGTGTGTGAAGAGTACTGCAGCCATTCAGAAGGGCGAGGTGCTGGTGCAACTTCCCGAAGCATCTGCAGCATCTGTGGACATGTCCGAAAAGTCTCCTGCACCTTCAGTGCTGGCGCCCTTGGCCGAGTGGTGGTCAGGAAATCCTCGGAGTTCCATTCGCCTGGCAGCGGTGCTGGTCTTCCAACGGGAGAAGTTTGGGCCATACATCGACATGCTCTATCCCATGGAGAACATCTACGCCCCATGGTTGTGGGAGGATGAGGATTTGAAGTTTCTTCCTGACAAACTCGCTGCAAAAGCAGCAGCACGAAGGAGAGCGTTGGACAGTGCCTGCACAGACCTCAAGGCCAAAGGTCTTGCGGAGGCTGTGCCGGAAGAGTTATTTCTGCGTGCTCACCATGCCGCTGCTTCGAGAGCCTTCGCTGGCGAGGAGCCGTGGGTTACATCTGCACAGCTCGCGTAGCTCACCGGGTGAACCATGGCTTGTGTTCTTGGTTTGTCTTCGGATCCAGCACGATCCAGCTTGGGGTTGCAGGGCGAAGTTTCGAGTGCACGCACCGCTGCGTTGGCGTGTGGGGCGCTTGCTCTGACGGCATGGAGCTCGGCATGTCGAGAATTTGGCACGAAGAAGGTGGTCGGCGTTTGCTTGCCTGCTTGTGTGAGCTGTCAGTAAGTGGTAAACATGTGCAGTCGTAAGCCCAGGCTGCAGGAGCAGCTGCTGCAACAGGTGTGACCAGTTCGTGTCTCGGTGCTTGATACGGGTCTATGCGTTGTAGAGCCAGGCGAAGCGGAAGCTTCAGCGGCTCATGCTACATCTTGTGGGGACACCCTGTGTGGCCCAGGCCTTGATGCAGCAGCTGGTGTTGGAGCGGTTGGAGTTGCGGCTTCTGGAGCAGTTGTGGCTGCTTGGCTGAAGGCGCATTGGTCTCCTACCAACAAACAGGGTTGGATCTGATAAAGGGGTCTGAGCTCAGTGCGGCAATCTCAGCAGCATTGGCACAATGTTTTCCACTGATGGGTGCAGATATCCGAGAGGCTGAAGCACTGTGTGGGTCAGTGTATTGGCAGACATATGACTGTACTAGTAGTATGTTCATGGGTTGTTATCTTGTGAAGCTTCACGAGCCATGGTCGCAACGGTGGGATGCTGCAGTGAAGTCTACAAGCATCGCAGACTCCGAGGCTCTGAGCGAGGACTCCAAGGCTTGGGGCTTGGAGTTGCGACGGTGAGAACTGCAGCTTTTTCGTCTTATGGCTTTTCCTGGAACGGCAGGTCTTGTCCCTGTTGCCAATGATCGACCAGATCAATCACAGAAGCGGGGCCGGGGGCTCTGGCAGCCGGCTTTTTCTGCTTTTGCCCCCCTTTTGCCCAGTCTTTGGAGGCTCCTCCCGATTTGCAATTCGATCCCGCCAGCAGACGGTGGGAGCTCAGGGCTCTTCGAGCGTGACCCATTTTCGTGGTAGATTTGGGTCCTGCTTTTTTGATGTTTCTGCGTGTCTCGTTGAGCTTGGGTCATGCCTGAGTGTCTGTTGGAAGGTATAGCGCTGGTGACGAGATTTGTTTCAGCTACGGCGACAAGGACGCCGAGTTCTCATGCTTCACCATCAGACAGATCATACAGGTGCCTCTTTCCCGTTAAGAAGCGCTACCCACAATTGCGAGATTGTTGTCTTCCAAGGGATCGGCAATGTGAAACGAACAATCAAGAACGGTCGACGACACACTGCCGGCAGCTATGGGCGCGCAGACTGGCAGCTTCACGCAACCCAAGAGACGAACAGGGAGCTAGGGAGGGCCTGCACTTGAACGCCGTTGCGTCCCCAACTCGGTAGTCAACTGCCTCTGCCAGTGCAACCTCCGTGGGTAGGACAGCGACGCGTTGCTGCTGCAGCATGGCTTCGTGGAAGAGGCGTGCTGGTTGCTGCATTCAGACTCTGAGGCACTAGGCTCCAAGCGGTGGATCCGTGACATTCGGCGGTTCCTGCATTTTTAGTATCTCTCTAAGGCATCTAGGCTGGACATAGTTCCACAAGTCAGCCCGAGCCCGGAGCAATTGTGCCAGAATTTCACGCAAATCTGACAACCATAAAGTTCAGGCAGCTTTGAATCTTTTGAGTACTTCACGGCCTGGACAGGCCTAGGCATCAACTGCTGTTCTTTTTCAGGATGGGTTGCTTGCTGGTTGCTTGTGTTGGAGGACAACGGGGCCGACAAACTGACGCTGTCTCTGCCAGCAGTTCGGGGCTGATCTCGAATCGCCGTCCAGTCTCTGCCTTGTTTCCCCGGACGTCCCTGAGGCCGGCTCGTACGGTTTGTCAGCGGAGGCCATTTTCGGAGAGAGCCGGCGGACGTAGTCAGCTCACAGGTGTGGGAACACAGGGCGTAGGTCGGGACACGATTTGCTGCCTGTCGAAGCGGTCTCCCCGATGCACAACGCAGCACTTTCGCATTCAGCGGAGCTGCAGGACTTGTCACCCAGTCGTCACAGCATTTCTCCAAGTCTCCGGCCAGGCCAAATCAGAGCTCGATGCGCTGGGTGTCCAGGCATCGGTGTTATGTGATGTTACGTGTAGCATAGCGTAGTCTGTAAGTCCAGGCAGGCATGGATGCTCCCAAACTGCACGGCTCGGAGCGTTCTTGCAGCGGATGTTGTGTGAAGGAACTGGTCTTTGCCAGAGACGGCTCTCTGCAGGGCCTGACTGAGGCCACGTTCTCCTGACTTCGGTGCTGAAGCGCAGAAGATTAACTCGCGATGGTGCTGCAGCTCCCTCCAATAACCACAATTTCCCATTCACTGCCTCGTGCTGCTCAGGATTGGCTCAGGATGTAGGTCTGGTGTCAGCCAGGAAGGTGCCATGCGGAGACGGCAGCTCTCGGGGCTTGTCGTCGTTTTGTTTTGTGACTTTGACGCAAGGTGAGACATCAGTGAAGCATCGCGATGCACAGCGGAAATCCTGATGTAATGATGACTCCAAGGCTGTACATGCTGGACTCGCTTTCTCAACTATGGGGCCACGTCGCAGTCTTTCATCCCGACGCAGACACGCACATCTCGCGTCGTTCAGCGGGCGATGTTGGACCTAGATGAGAAGAGGGGGCCGGTAGTGGACAAACGCTTCCCCCCGCCAGAAGAGTCTCGCTAGCATCTTGGTCGTTCTTTTGCACCAGGCAGAGCCCGCTTTCTGGATAAACCTGCGGTTTCATGTCAGATTCACCCAGTGTTACAAAACCTCAAACCTATCACGAACAGGAAGCAGGGTCGTAAGCAGTTCGGAAACACCAGAAAGGGGGTTTCTTGAGCACAGTCATGTGTCAGAAGCGACACGGACGTCTTTGCTTTACTGGGCACTCCCTGAGCCAAGGATGTCTTCAAGTACCGTGGCCCAAATCCCAAAGTTAGGAGGAACCGGAGACCGAGTGGTATTGCAACACAGCAGCTGTCGCCACCGAAGAAGGGTGGCCTCATTCCGTCAAGAGGTTCCAGGGTCTATATACGTCACACGGGCTGGACCGAAGCTTGGCTGCAGACGGAGCCGGTCGTGCCGTCTTGAGGAGAGCGAAACGACAACAAAGTTTCTGTTGTGCTTGTGACTCGCCAGGTTCAAGATGGACAGATGTTTGACAGTTCGTTCCTCCGGACAAAAGAGCCAGAGATGTTCGAAGTATCAGAGGCCACCGGGCAAACGTGCACATTGGTTAGGAAACGAAACCGCGCTTTGTTTGAGCCATGCTCTGCCGCCAATTGCATTCTGTTCTCGCACCGTCGTCCTAGACGATCAAAGAGAAGCTGACCAGAGCGACCTGCAACATTCCGGATGTTCCCTCATCCTTTTGACGGGTTTGTTCCTATTCTTACGCATGGCGGGGGTTCAAGCCGCTGCAGGTGCCCTATATGTGAGGCTGTGCCTAGACTCTCCTAGACCACTTATAAGCACATGTGTTTGGACAGAGGGAGTTCTCGAATGGCCGGAAGGTGCTCTCGGCCTGGCGTGCCGCGCTGCTGGAGATGCGCGAGGGCGAGAAGACCAGGGTCTGGGTTCCAGCGTCCAGGCCGGTTTAGGGCAGCTCAGGGCTGTTAGGGTTTGGCTTTCGATTGGCCATGACCCGTGAGGTTGTAGGGTTTAAGGCGGTTAGCATTAGGGCTTGGCGTCTAAAATGGACCCCATGGGAGGCCGACTGAGCTGGATTGGGGCGTTTACAGCGAACGCGGGCCTCTTTGCTTAGTTTTGGCATGTTTTGGCTATTTTGGGTTTCGGGTTCTTTCAAGTCATCGTTGGTTGGGTTCTGGGCAGTGTTGCCTCCGTCAGCCTCTACGGGTTCTGCGACCAGGATTCTGGGTTGTACCCGGTTCCTTCCCGATGCCCAAAGTTCCCAGAAGGCAGTACCCCTGGGTCTTCGACATTGAGCTGATCAAGGTCGAAGAGGATCCGCCGTACTTTCTGATAGCGTTATTGGTGCTTCCCATCATTGCTGGAGAGCTGTACATACGCATCACTGGGAAAACGCCGGGCGATGCACTCAATGAGTATTTATATGGTGACTTCCTGAATGGAGTCTAGACGCCGGAACGCGAGGATGTAAGTCATCAGCTGTTGGGACAAGATCTTGAAGCATCTCGCGGGAGGCGGATTCGGAAAGTGCCATAAGCCCGAAGATGAGTTTCCGTGAAACGGACAGCTACGAAAAATACTATGCGCCTTTTCCTTCTGCAAACTCTGCAGCAAATCCATGCGACAGTTTTCGATAATCAACCAGACCCATGTGGGCTCACGAAAGTGTGGTCGCACTCCCACGTATCCGTAGAGAAAGAGGCCTTACCCGGTGTGCCTTGGTGGCGTTACAGCACATCTTCAGCCGCGGCTGGCAACTGATGTTGCTTTCAGAATTGTTTTGGTGCTGCACCAAGTCCTGCGCAGGTGTCGCGGCAGAACTTACTGGAGGCATGCCTGCGACTTGCAGAGAGCTTGAGCAAAGAGCAATAGAATGAAGAAGAGAGAAAGAATGAGAGTCAAGAGAGGCAAGCCTTAAGACAGGAGGTGCAAAGAGTACTTGACTCTCTCTTTGTCGAATTTTCAAGCGATTCTGGCGGGGCCCGTGGACACTATACGAAGACTGGGGGCGCACAGGTGCAGAATGGTGCTCCATGAGGTGCAACACCCCTCACTCTCTGCCCACCGAATCGCTGCAGGTTTGAAAGAAAAGAGACTTACACATGTTTCGTCCTTGCAAACCAATGTGATCCCCGATGCTTCAGCTCCCCACGATACTGTACGTTGAAACGTGGCCTTGCTGGAGCAAAGCTCACCTTCTCTCGACTGCAGCTCCACGGATGCACTCTCTACTTCAACCATATGAAACCAAACGGAATCCCCGACGGCCTGAAGAGACCCTTGCGGAGCTCGCATGGGGGACCTTGTTTTCGAAAAGCGCCTGGTCTGGTGAATGGCTGTTTTCTCCGACAGGTGGTTGCGGCCACGCTGCGATCTGCTGTTGCCAGCTGTTCAGCTTCTGACGATGCAGAGGTCGGCTGACAAGTGAAGCAGCTTCAGGCATCATCTTCCTCATTTGACCAGGTGGCAAGATCAGTGTCCTCGCCGGGCATCGGTCGAGTTCTGCTGCGCCGGATGCTTTGCACACTTTTTTGCGAAGTATGCTGCCGCTCACGCATGCCGTCGAGCCCAATAAACGCGGTTTCTGCAGAATGGAAGTATCTGCAGCGAGCCAGCTTAATAATCACACAGGCACTTCTCGAAAAGAAAGTAGATAAAGCGTGTCCGAAACCAAGGCGTGTTGCGTGGGACATTTGTCCTCCTTGGAATTGCATCGCATATTCTCCATTGTTTCACCTATCAAGCATGAGGTGGGGGGTGCTGCCAGACCTCAGAAAGCATCTTGAAAACGTGACATGCATGAATCGGAGTTGTGATGAGCTGTCTGTCAGCGGAAAAGCCTAAAACAAGGGCGATGGGCAGCAAACTCAAAGATCCAAAAAGGGGCATGGCCAGGCACCAAGTCCGCAACGGAAGTGAAGGCTACTAGTTACTAGACCACAGGCCTTCGAGGAGGCCGAGGCAGCCCTGTGGCGAGCGGTGAAGCGACAAAGAGGCCGTGGGCAGCCCACGTAGAGAAACCATGCAATCCAACGAAAGGGCTCTGCCTTCGAAGCAGAACTGGGCTCTAAGATGCTCGAAGATGCAGAACCGTCTTACTCGTTGGCTTCACCGAAGGTCTGGCTTTTGCATAGACTCCCAAGCTTGCCGGGGAACCGGGCTGCTCTCCAAAGCCCTTCTTGGTGGCGTTCTGGCCAACCGGAGAATTCCATGAAAGAGAGCATCTGAAGCTTAACCATAGTCTCTCAGTGTAACCTGGTGACCTATCAGGACTGCACAGCCTTATCACTGCAAACTTCTGCTCGAGAGAGCAGTACCCAGGCTGGCGCGCAGAGCGGCGGAAGCTGCTTGAAGCTGCTGCAGAGCGGTGGAAGGCTGCCAGTAAGGGTTTCCATAGGCAGCAGGGGAGCAGTCGTGGATCAAAGCCCATTTCTCCGGACACAAGTTGGGCATGGCACCGGTCAGCGAGTGAACGCAGACATTCAAGGAGAACTATTCCTTTTCCAGATTTCTCCAGCTGGCATATCTGATTGTTGTTCAAAAAGAGAGTTCTGAGGACTGTTTGCTTATTATTCACTGTCGACGAATCTAGGGGAACATGCTTGAAACAGTTCCAGGCCGGTCTTTTTTTGTTTGTTTTACTCATGCGGGTCATTAGCAAGAGTTGGCGCAGCATGCCAGTCGGATGACAGATGCTGGTCATGTCTGGTACTGTCTCGATGGTTGACCTCCTTTCCAGATTCTCGGTGAACTATCATTGCGACCCGAGACTTTCCATGCGTGCGTCAGGTAGAGGACGTGAAGCAGTGAGCTGTCCGAGCAACAGCGTTCTCTGATCGTTCGTTTGCACGGAGCTATTGGCTGGACTCAAAAGACAGTTCTCATTCCTCCTGATGCGCAGAATTCAGAAGGGATGTCCTCATGTGTGTATGATCGTCTCTGGCTGCGGAGCTTGTTTGCGTGTGCCAATGCCATGCTTGACAGGAAACCAGCGAGAAGAAGGGGCATGCAACACCTTGGTACTTGTATGAAGTAGAAGGGAAGATGGAGGATCTTCTGGGCGTCTGGTCACGAGCTGTTTTAGAGGCTCCGTTCAGCATGCAAACAACATGCATCCCAGTTTTCCTGCCCACTTTGCTGTGCGTGCTAAGGGTGGGCTGCATGAAGTGTGTAACAGCATCCTCACTGTCTTTCCATGATACTGCGAACTATGCCTAGCAGTCTGGCAGATGTCTCTTCCATCAGTTTGATAGTGCTATCTTGCAGAAGCCTGAATCACTGAAGTCGAGGGACACCTGCAAGACACCCCTCAAGGCCTTACACTGCAGGCATGTAGCACCCTTGCACATGCTGGAAATCTCCGCCCACTTGCGCCGTGGACTGGCTCCTTGCCGTTGAAGACTGCAGCCATCGGAGTGGCTTGGTGAGTCTGCTGTACGATGATCTCAGGCTCCGTGGCCCAATCCGAAGCCTCCACCCACTCGCCTCGCTCCTCATGGCCAGTTCGCTGTTTCGGGATGGCAGACTCAGGATGCAGAAGTCAACTGAGGCATAGTACTCCCGCGCGCGGTCTCCACCAGGCTCAACCTTAAACTGCGTGGCTGTCAACGAAGCTCCCTTCTCTCTGTAAGCGCCCAACAGTCTTGAAGTTTCAGAGCGCACGGTCAGGCGTGTTGCTCCCCTGAAAGCACCAAAGACTTCCAGTCAAGGCCTTTAGTCGTGTTTGCGGGATTTCCATGGCACTGGAGCATGGAGCCGTGCCGTTCTCCAGAGGCCTCCCGGGCCGAGCGCAGCGCCTTTGCCTTGCAGCTATGGCCGGCTGAAAGCAGAGTCGAAGCAGAGGGAGATTCGGCCTGCACATGTTGTGCCCGGCAGGCTGCAGTTGCGAGTGAACGACTCAGGGTCCGACACGGGGAAGAGCTCTCCGAAGAGTGCGCTCCATTGCAGCGTGCTTTCGGACTCTGCTGCTTGCCTGATGCCTGCAGGTACACTTGCAGGTCTTCGCACCGGGGTCTTGGGTCGAATCATAGTCTCTCCCGGTATCGAAAGTTGCAGGATTCCGAAGACGGATGCAGAGATCCTGAGATTTTTCCTGTGCTTTCTTGCGGATCAAGGCCCGCCGCTGCCTGCTCTGCATGCAGTGTCAGGCGGTGTGTCATCAGCACGTGCTGAAGGTCTGTCAGATGTTCCCGTCTTCATCAACGGAGGATATGCTCTGGCCTCCAAATTAGGTGCTCTAGGAAGTCAAGAGATGCCGAGAGACTTCCGAGGTCAGGGACCTGCTGCTTGGCAAGGAGCCTGATGATCTCGATCTGACCCTTTGCCTCCGGGACTGCGCGCCCGAGGTGCGACTCGCTGCCTGGCTTGAGAGCCTTGAGAGCCTCACGAGCCCATGGCAGGTAACGGTGGCAGCGCTCCTGGATGAAATGAAGCCGTACGTTGAGCAGAGGTGCTCTCACCTACGCTCAGCCTGGTAGGTTTAAACAAAGTCTAGGTCGCGGAAGTTGTGAGAGGCCGGAGTTTGGCCTCACAGAGTTCAAGAATGTGAACGGCTCGGCTTGCACTTGCACTGCCGCTGAAAAGGCAGATTCAGAAGTCACGAGCCACAAGCATGCTCAGGCGACCATTCTGTCCAATGAGTCCAAAGATAAGCAGCTGGATACCTTCAAGGCTTGTGTCTCGTGTTCCCTTACCCGTGAGAGTAACCCCTTAGAGGCTCACTTCACGAACACTGCTGGGGTCAAGACCGAGGACAGCCGGAGGGAAGGATGGGGAGGTCAAGCATCACAAGTTCCATTCACGGTTGGCAGGTGGACGTGATGCCTACGATCGGGGAGGAAACGTACTCAGATGACAACAGGCGCACGACCACAAGAGTATCAGGACTAGGCACAAGAAGCTCTACGCTCCATGCCAACAAGTCCTAAGTGTGCCTTTCTTCGCGGACTGCAATGTTGCCACTTTGTGCAGGGTGCCGGTCCGTGATCAGCGTGGCCTCCCCGAGGAAGATGCACTGCACAGGCCTCGGTAGATAAAAGGTCCTGCGATTTGTCTGGGGAAGGGGTTGCGATTTTGTTTCATGTGCTGTCACACATTGCTACCTAGGCGTCGTGACCTGACCATCGGTGCCCTGCTTATGCGCCTAGCTCTCAGTGAATTTGCTCATGTTCATGCCTGCATGCATCAAACGGTCGTATGTTTTCAGGTGTGCGCTCCTCTGAAAGCAGCACGGTTCGCCTCTGAATACTTCTCGTGGATTGAGTGACAGGATCTGTTTTGCTGTTGTGACACAGGCTTTGCGCTATGAGCTCTTTGACTTCTATGGTGGAGCCAGGATCTCACTCTCCGACCTTGCCGGTATGCTGCAGCCTGACTCATGTCCGATGCTTTTGCAGAATTTTTAAAGCGACAGGTCACCGACATCGAGCGCGGAGTCCTGAGATCTCCATGCCGCCACCTCGGTCACCGGGCGGATTTGTCTGAAATGCTGCGGCCGGTGACATCGAGGCCCAGTTGACAGGCAGCCTGCCGAGGTGGAGGAGGTGGTGCTGAGGTCAGCTAAGATCTTAGAATCTGCGAGCCGTTTTTACCGATGGAACCTGCCAAGAACGCCGGAAGAGAAGGAGCTCGTGGCAGCCCCAGGATGCCTGCAGTCGGCAGTCTGCTCTTGTCCCGAGTTCGGTCGGCTTCTGTTCGTTTCAAAAAAATCGCTGGCTGTCCACTCGTACGCAACTCCCTTGGAGCCTGGCCGTGGCACCCAAAAGGACAGCCGCCTCGTGTCTTCAAGCCCTGTCGGTGCTTCGTGAGCCCCTCCTCTTCCTCCAATGGTCTATCCCTGCATGTACATTCAAACGAGTTTACCGGTTCGGCACGAGTGAAGATGAGTTTGCATGTTACACCTGAGGTCTAACGAAAATTAAAGCTGCTGACATTGCTGGCTTGACAGCTACTCTGTGCGGGAACAAACGGGTGCAGAGCCCTCACATGTCATTCCCAGATTGTTTTACCAGGTAGCCGGGTTCAGAATCTTCAGACGAATCAGATGTGCAACGTCGGCAGCTGCAAAAACAGGCGACGGAATCAACCTTTGCAAGCTGATACTGACAAATCCAACTGCTTTCTTGCCATGGCGGCTCTTGCGAAAGCGCGAACTTCCATACTCCTGCTGCTTTTCGGTTGCGTGTGGTCCTTATACTTTCTGTTGAAGACCTTTGAAGATACTCATGCCCGGCTGTGCTGCGAGTGAGGCCTTTTGCTTCTGCGCCTGGTATCCGGTGAGATCCAGATCTTCTCGCCCTGTGGCACGACGGAGCAGTGACAAGCAGGAGTGGCTTCGGAACGTGGGAGCACAGGCGGAAGCGCACTGTTTTGTATCAGGAGATTGTGTACAACTACTTTGCGCAGGCCCGAAGTTCCCCATGGCTCATGTGCCCTGTGATCGCCGCTAATCGACTGTGGAGGATTATGCCCTGGTGACGAGGAAGGAGGAAACCTTCGACGTAGGCGCCTGAAGTCTCACAGCCCGGCTTTCTGACGGCACCGACAGCTTGTCAGGGCAATGGCTCTCGGAATTGCTGCCGTGGTCGGATGGGGAACTCCGAGCACGAGATGTCTTGTCAGAAGTGCCCGTCCTAGACTTCAAGCTTTGGTGTAGCAGGATTCACACAGCCTGCTTTCCCCTGATGAGATATTGCCAAAGTGGCGCAGCATTGATGTTGGTCCACAAACTGACATAGCGCTTCGACGTCGTTTCCGCGCTTTGACGGTGGCTACTGGAGGCAGGAACGGGACTCAGAGAGTAGAGCGAAGTCGACATGTAATTGTCAATGCCACAGCTTGTCGTGCGAAGGAAGTATGAAGCCGCTGTATTGAAGGTGAAGAGCCTGCTTTGGCTGCGATGCGCCGCAACATCGCAATCCTTTACTTCGGTGAGGCAAACCATTGCGCTTGTTGCTACTGGAGCATGCCATGAGCAGTGCCGGAGGGTCAGATTCAACGAGCCGGAGAAGTCCTGCAGAGACTGTTGGGCAAAGAGAGGCTTCTGTCATGTTTGCAGAAGAGAGGGGTGTCGGGAGATGGGAAAACACCACCTTCATTGTCCTTGAGTCGCGAGTGCAACATTCTCCCCAAGCTTAAGCATCTGCGAAATGAGGAATCGAAGGTGCTTCAGTGTTAAGAGCCGCAGTGCCGCTGCACATCAAGTCCATTCTTTGTCTTCCATCTTCTGTCTCAGTTCTGTACTACATCCCCGAATGGGGACTACACTGCTGGTGAGCCCGCGTCATCATCAGCAGCACCCCGCTGCCTTGCTGTATGCAAACGTGCCAGGGCAGCGCAAGTTATCCAGAAGAACCCGGGTGTGCTTACGATCGACCCCAGGCGCCCGTCTTGCTGGTCTGATGATCGCTGATGGTGCAGCATGCGCATGATGACATCTTTTCAGCCCACCTTCTTCCACTCCCTTGACCATGAGGAACTTGGAGAACAACATCTCGGCCGTCTGCGTAGCTGCTGACGTGATTGATGTACTTGTTCAGAATGGACAAGTTGCACGGCTGACTGCAGGCAGAAGCCTTATTTCTTTTTGGTATATTTGTGGTGTGGTTCAGACTCCCATCTGCTTGACGTATTTCTGCTAAGACTTGTAGTAGCCTTTGAGCTTCTGGGTTGGCATTCAACTCTGATATGCTTGCAAGCTGAAGCCCATGCTCTGAGTGAAAGATTGCCGCAGGTGCCGTCGGTATCTTTTTCGCAGTCGGCATTGCAAAAGCCTTGGGCGATGTCATCTATCTTCGCGTTCTGAGTCAGACTTGAACGGGTCACCGTGGTGTGGCTTGACGAAAGCGCATGTCCCGACCGCCGCCTGCCTCTGTGGAAGATGGGCGCTGGGAGCCTGAGCTCCGGGAGTGCCCAGTTCTCGATCCAGACGAGTGACGTGTGCCGACAGCTAGCTCCTGTGAGCCTGCGAGGCGGGTAGTGACACCTGTGCAAAGGGGAGCGCGGTGTCACTTAGACCTTGTCGAGAGAAGAGAAGAAAAAGAACCGACCTTTGACATGGCAATGACGCGGACGGACGCGAGCTCCATGCGTCCAAGGCCAAGAGCCTGGGGATTCACGACTTGCCACCTGACGAAGCTGCCACGGGCTTCGCATTCCTTCAAAACACAGGGCATGGGCATGTAGTCCACTTCAGACTTCCCTCGTGCGCCGAGGTACAGGTCTTGTGGTGGAGCAAGGTGCGAGGTGAGCTGGCAGGTGCAACAACGGCGGAGAGCGTACCTGCCAGGTTCTGATAGATGACCCTTTGCGAATTTGCCGGGCTTTGCGCTTCGCCGCGAAGTTCAAATTTAAGCTGCTACAGCCTCAGTGCACTCGTGACAAGCGGCTGGATGGTTTGTAATGGTTTGTGGAACCCATTTTCTTCAGGCATCCGGCGTTCTGGAAGGCTCAGCCTTTCCACTGAAGGTTGCGTCTCAAGCACCCGCTTTGCACTGAATCCTATGCAGGCTGCACCCTTCGCGCTTGAGCGGGGACCTCGCACGCTTTGTCAGGTTTTCAAGGGTCAGCTTCCTTAAGCACACGCACGCACGCACGGCCACCTGTGCGACATCGTACGCAGGCGCTTGAACGGCGAACGAGCAGCTGTTTGGCTCAGGCGCAGTTCTTCACATGTTTGTTTCAGGAGACTACCGCATTTATCGCAATTTTTGCCGCAGAGCCTGCATCCTAGCCCTGGGCATCCTCAGCACCTTGGATCTGATGTCATGCCAAAGCATGGCAAGCAGCTCTTCCTTCCTTGTTGCTGGCCGAGGTCCTGGCTTTGGCTCCTGCGGGCTGTATCGAAAGCCTGGGATACTTGCACGGACGAGTCACGGCATGGCAGCCGCCGAGGCCGGGTTCGGTCTTTGCGGATGTTTCGAAGCGCTGGCACGTCGAAATGAGCATATTGCCATCTGCGAGGAAGCGCCGGTGCCCACACCCAAAGCTGCGTTGCTGCTGATTGATCTGCAGAAGGCAGGAATTCTTTTTATGATGTTGGTGGCAGCCGCCCGAAAGCTTCCAGTGGTGTGAGGCCTTCACCGTGGGCAGCTGGGCATCACATTTTGGTGGTAAGATGCAGGTCGCCGACATTGAGAGAGCCTGTGTCGAGACAGCACGGCTGTTGGAGTCCGGGAAAGTGCCTCCTGACACTCCGATACTTTGTACCAAGTGCTATGATAGTATGCCGCACGACGAGCCCTACGTTGACGTGGTGGAACCTTTTCTGAGGAAGGTTCCTTGCATTCACAAGCCGACCATGGATGTCACCTACAACCCAGCCTTCTTCCGATGGCTGCAGCAGCAAGTCAGGTTGCTTGATGGAATTTTGCATCAGTCTTATGCCTTATGCTTTGGTCGGATAGAGATGTCGAGGTTTGCCCGTGCTAAAATTGAGCATGCTGATTGAGAACTGAGAGAGACGGGAACTTGTTTTCTCCTCTCATGTATCACGCAGACCTAGCGGCCTTTCAACCGCGACGTGTTGTTGTTTGACTTTTCAATCGCTGTTGCATCGGCCAGGGTTGTCTCGAACATTCCGTTCCTAGAAGAGTCACTAACGAACGACAAACACAGAACGGTGGAAACGGCGGGAATCAGCTTTTGTGAAAGAGCGCTCAGTTGACAGCGTGCGCAAACCCGTTTTAGTCTGTGCCAGCTGATGTTGTACAGCGTGAACAGATCGCAGGCCCCCCTTTTTGTGTGCCAGTTCTCGAACGGGAAAACGACCAGTTTTCACAGCTTTTTTACATCGGCAGAGTCAACAAGAGGCTGATCATTTGTCTCTTGTAAAAAAAGACTTCTTGGACGGTGCTATCACCTAGCATAGAAGATAAACAGAAGTTCTGCTCCGAATGCAGCACTAAAGTCTTGGATGAAGCTTTAAATCAGTGTGCACACAGAAGGGGAAGGGTGGGGCTGGGCGGTCCACTTTCGAGTCTTTCCAGGTGAGTCCGGGTGGGTTGTACCCTTTGTCGTCCACGGGCCCTGCCTCGCGCATTCCAGTGCCTGTGCATTCGTGTAGTTATGCACTCGAGCGTCTTTCACGCAGATTTGCTGGTTCACAGGCTTTCCCACCGAAGCATTGCATTACCTTTTTAAGAATCCGAACGGGAAGCTAAAACAGCCTGCCACTCAGCAAACAGAAACAGGAAGCGGCTGTTTGATCCCGACATCTTTGTCGACATGTTTCATAGAGTATGCACAGGCACCGCATAATGTAGACACAGTCGTTTCGTTAATTTAAGAGGCTTGTGTCAAGAAGGTTCCATGCTTCCCGCTACTTCAATCGAGAACGGGTTGTGGAGTCTTGATGTGGAAATGCTTTTGCTCCCGAGCGGCAAGTCTGAACCCCATCAATGTCACTCTCCATGAGGTGTGGTGTCAACGTTTTGATCATTGGAGGCTGCACCACAACTTCTTGTGTCCGCGTCAGTTCTACGGAAATTGCCAGCCAGCTCGCAGAACAAGGTCTTGCTGGGAAGATCCGTGTTGTTGTGGACTTGAACTTATGTGGAGCACGGAGCGAGAATTTTGAAAAGACCGCGGATCGTGATCCGGTATTGGTGAGAATATACGGGCGCGAGTTCTGTCAAGGCAAATCGGCAGTGGACTTGGCCATCGTGCAGATGAATCGCGCTGGCGTCGAAGTCATCGAGAGAGATGCCGGAGGGTGGCAATGGTAGGGACGGGATGGGATCAGCGTGGCCGGCACCGTCTGCAGTGACGCCTGGTCGATGGCACGGATGACGTTTCCAATGGAAAAGCTGCAGACAGATGTTCCTGAAATGTTTCCTTCACCAGGCTTCCCTTTCCCTGCAGGGATTAGAGAGATGCTAGGGGAACCGCGGGAGCAAAGCAATTACAGACGCCAGCTTGCGCACCGAAGTGATCGGCTTCAGCAGGGAGGACCATCCTGTTTCGATGCCCATGGCTGAGACGTCATGTCCGTGGACGGACATGTTGTGTTGCGGCTTGCAGTGGCTTGCAGACATGGGCTTCGAGGAAGATGTGTGCAGTCCTGACAATCAAGCAGTGATGTCGGCCACATCTCGCCACCCAATAACCCTTGTGGATAGTGCAAGATGGGCAACGCAGGCTGTCATCCTTTGCTGAGCTGTGGACGGTCAACAGGCTGATCACAGGAGTTCGTCTGAATGGGCAAAGACAATGCAGTGACCCTGCTTCTGGCACGTTTCTCTGAGCGTTGTTGAATTCCTGGCCAAAGCCACTTGAGTGCAACAAGAAGTGTACGGATTCAGTCACAAATTGTAACTGCGAGATGTCTAGATTTGAACCTCCTCAGATGCAGCATGCAACACGATGCCATCAGTTCGGGGCGTGACCACAGAGGCTGGCTCGTACCACACGATATGGCCAACTGCTTGACAAGGTGAATGAAACGTAGGAAGTGCGCAATTGAGAACGCGTGCCAGTTCCTGATGCAGGCGTGATTGTTCAAAGCCTAAAAATGGTCACTCGTGCATTTTGTTTCGATACTTTGTCACGTCTGATAAACACCATGAGCACGTGATCTCGCAGTTGCCTATTGCCAAGGCCATTGAGAACGAAGGTGGCGAGAGCCTCAGTACGAGTGCCTAAAACCAGTGTCCCTAAATCCACAAAATCGCTTCGTGCGTGTTGTCAAAATGGGGGTTGACAAAAGACGAGGGCATCCAACAACCAGTCTCAATTCCGCCACAAATGGCAAGGCAAAGTGGGGGCAGTTGCTCATGGGCCCATACATTCCACCTGGGGGAGAGATGAAATTGATTGCATGACCACGGAGGTAGGAGTAATTGAGGCTGGAAGCCGAAAATTCACCGAGTATCAGAAGATTGGAGGTGCGTGGGCAACAGAGTCCGGCTTGGCGCAGCAACCGGTCCTGCAGGGTATGGATTCAAAGCCTGCTTCGAATTCTTCGATCTGGCCTTCAGCTATACCTTCGGACCTGGCGAGGCCTCTCAACCGTGTCACTGCTCAGACCCGAAAGCTCCGGAATCTTACAGAGTGCCGAGAAGAGCTCTTGTGACCTTGAGCGAATCTGGGAACGCGTTTGGGAGACTCCAGGGCTGCTCGCGTCTGGCCTCCGCCCTTCTGGGTGGGCAGGCGCTGGTGGGATCAATGAACTTGCGAGAAGGGGCTGTTCAACAGATTCCGCACGAGCTTTCGATTTGCACGGCAGATGGCATGAGCAGGACGACAAAGCAAAGCCTCGGATGCTTTCACAGGCAGGCGCAGACGGAAGAGAGAGAGAGAGAGCGACGCCTCGGAAAGACTGACATGTGGCTAAGCCAGATGCTTTCTTACAATACGACGAGTAGTTTCTGCCGGCTGTGTGTTTGCAAGCATGCAAAGAAGCGAAGCACAGCCCATCTAAGTACTCCGGCAGTCGATTCAACACCATCCGGAGGTTCATTCTTTCGATCGAGACTGCTTTCGCACACTGGCTGATGCAGTTCAACCGTGTGAGGCGGCCTGGTAGATGCGCTCTTTCCACTGCAACTCAGTGTATAAGTTAAAGCAGCTCCGTGATGTGCTTTTCTTGTCTGTCGACTGTCTACACTGAGTGCACGAGGCAGTCAAGGCAATGTGGTCTCCCAAAGTTCATCACTAGTGTTGGAAAGTCTCGACTGCTCCATGGAAATGCAAGCAAATCGTAGTGGTAAGTTGCCGTCAAGTGCGGTGCTTGGGTGTGTTCAGAAGTGTATGATGCAAGAGTGCACACAGCACTGGGAGAGTCTTCGGTGCCCTTTGCACAACTAGAGCTTATGGGACTCGCAGGCACGCTCTTAGGGTCCCGGCGAGAAAACCATGCTCCTGAGAGAATTAACGAACAGATCGAGTGCTTCGACACAGGGGCAGAAGCATGACGGAGTTGAGCTTCTCGGGGAGCTCATGGTTGCGGCGATCGCAGCTTGCCCATCCTCTTGAGTACTTGCCACGTCATGAAACTATCCGACTCCTGGATCACTTGTGCTTTTGCACATCTGAGGCCGCTGCTCGGTTCGAGGTTTGCGGCTAAAGCCGCAACGAGGATGTCCAACTGCAGTTCGGTTTGGCAGCTTCTTTGCCTCTGCTAGGCCGAGGGAGATCCTGTAGCCGAGTTCACCACCGCCTGCGATGGCATGTGCGTTTCAGCCTTGTTGCATGTTCTTGCACCGCGCTGCTCAGCGGGATAGCGAACAACCGGACGTCCATGGATTGATCCTTGTTTTCCGAGGTGAGCAACGCCATGCGCGAAGCGGGTCTCACCCCGCTCAATGCTTCTATCGCACGGAGCCTCATTAAGCGGAGGGACGGAGCATCGTCGTTCATGCGCTATCATCGTTGAAGAAGATGGAAGTTGAGAAAGCAAGGCTCGAGAGCCCTCGTACGAGAGATAGATACACCACACACGTTAATCGGAGGATCCATCTATAGGGGCTGCCAATAGGTGGGCTATGTCCAAGTTTAGACAGCATGTCAATGAATTCTTCAAGTGCGCCAAAGCCCGAAGTCGATGCTGCATTACCCAAAGCCTTTGGGAGAAGCATCTTCGACATCTTCTGCTTGAAAGACAGATATTGTGAGAGCGTATGGCAGCCCAGGCGATGGCGGCGGAAGCACCGTCATTGAATGCCTTAGACATGCGTTGCTGCCCAAGTTCGGCCGTACCTGGATGGGAGATGCCCACTCTTTTCCTGCGTGTCTGCGAAATTAACTCACGAGACGTCCTTCTTGTTTACACTCACTTCAATGACACAAGCTGAGATGTGGCCGATGCATGCGGCATCTCACTGGACAGCCTTGGCCGACATGTCCAGGTTTGGGAGGCCTGCGAAGCACTGCGAAGCGAGTCTGCGCACTTTTGCATACATGCCAGAAGAGTCAGAAAGTATGCCAGCACTAAGTAGCGGCAAGATTTTTGGCAATGCTCAGCCCATCAAAGAGCTCACTTCCTGGTTGAACTTGAAGTCATGTTGATGTGTGCAATGTGCGCCAGGCCATGCAGATCTGCAACTCGCGCACCGGTGCCTCAGACACGATTTTGTGTTTGTAGGTGAGGACGCAGGAGATGGCACGACACGCCATGCAGGCCCCGAATATGCAACCCCTTATCGGCGACAGTTGGCATTTGGCCCAGTTGCACAGCCTTACGCCAAAATTTAAGCACGACGCCTTTTCTTTCAGGCCCTTGCATTGTTGCGGCTTCGGGTACCAGACATGGCAGCAGAAGTGCAAGCTTGCTTTCAGGCCGGGTCGACTCGCAAAGAAATTGCTGCTCCTCTGTCCAAGCATGAGTTTCGGAGAGAGAGTTCAGCTTCTGTCGAGTACCGGCTCAGAGCAGCACGACAGCAAGTCGTGGAACATTTGTTTGTAGACAATTGGAGAACAGCGCACGATACGGGATTGTTGTGGCTCGCCTTAGCATAATAATCGAGCAGCTGGGTGTATTGGTCGCACTGTCGCTGGAGATGCCGGCCTGGAAAGCTGCATGTCTTGATTTTCATTGGCCAACTCAGAGACAGCTGCCTCTCAGAGTTTTCGCTGGCGTGGCCGTGGTGCAAGACCAAGGAACTGTTGGGGAAGACGCTAACGCCTGCTTGCCAGCCCAAGGCTTGCCAAGCTTGCCTCGATTGAACCTGTGTTCGAGCAAGATTGGAATCGTGCCTCAGAGCGAAGTTCCAGGCGAATGCAATACTTTCTAAGGTGAAGCTGCACTTCCAAGAGCGCAAAGAGTGCGACGTCCACGATCCGATGTTCTTGCGATGCTTGATGCTTGGACGCAGCTTCTGAGCCCGGTGCTGCACATTCCACAATCTGCTTCAAGCTATGACGAAAGTCTCAAGGACCGTCTTTGCCCGGAGCCGTGGTTGCAAAATCGTGAATGCGGAAGTACGAAGCAGTGCGCAGACCGACTTCTCGGCTGCTTGGCGAAATCAATTTGGTCACGTCAAGGGGCCTCGCCTCGCTGAGGGCAACTCGCGCGGCCAAGGTAATCATGTGCCATGACAACGTGAGGGACCTGGCGGCCGTGCCGCCTCCCTCCACAGGAAAAGGAAAAAAGGCAACTGATCCTAACGTGGCGCATGCAGGCGGTCACTCTGTGCCAGTGCTAGTTTTGGCGCACGCACAGGGACCGAAGAAAAAGAAGAGCAAGAAAAACGGTCCGAGCGCGGGCACCCTGTACAAGTGTGCCTTGATTGCATGTGAGATGGAGGCACGACTCGGGACAATTCCGTTCCCGTTCAGCCGTTCAGGTTGGGCATACGATGGTTAGTGGCTGGCTTGCACGCAGTTCATTGAGCGTTTTCGCTCGCCGAGAATGCGCCGCCAGGCGGGATGGCAAGTCTCAAGTTGCTACTGCTTCCAAGGACATGCTTGGTCTTGTCCAGTGTGCTGGGTTGCTCCGCCAGCTCCCATGCCGGCTCTCCTGACGGCCAGCGTAGTCATGCCAGCCAAACCTCCAGCTTCAGGCCGTTGAGACGTGTGGAAGCCGAGGAGGTCGGTTTTAGGCTTGGGTGAAGTGCTCCACCGCAAAAGGAAGTTGATTTGCAATCCTCGGAGTCACGACACCCAGTTTAATTGGTCTTTTTTTCACATCCTGTCGGGCCACGACCGCTGAAGATTATTGTATGTTATTATGTCCCCTTCAAAAGAAACTTGAACCAGCACATGGCTGAGAAAGCCCTACTAGCGACCCAGGTCATGGCTGATGGACACAAATGCAAAACAATTTAGGTCTGAGCCAAAGCAGTGGCAGCAGAATCGAGCCTCTCGTTTTCAGCTCTTTCGAACGTGCAGTGCGGAAGGAGGCAGAACCGCAGAATCGTATCGCGTGCATTACATGTCTATGCATTTTCTAATTTCACCAGCTTGGTTCTTGCTACGTGTCTTTATCTTCGCGCGGCTTAGGCGCAAATAGTCTTGAAGCCGCTTCTGATGCTGCCTAACAGAATCTCTTTAGCCAACGTCAATCCTTGCCCTCGAAGTGTTCATGTCGAGTGCGATCCGCTAATGCGGCGCTGGATAGACAAATCCATATTTTGAAAGTGAAGTGCCAGCCTAGGGCACTGTTGACCAAGCATCGTCTCAGCAGATTGATTGAACATGGCAGTACCAACCCAAAGATTTCGACAACAAATATATACTTGTACTTGTATACAGTCTGCTGGATGTGTTGTAGGTGCTTCAGTTGCCGCGGTAGCATGCGTGACTGGGCCACGGAACTAGTAGTGGTCTGAATCCTCTTGTCCAGATTCTTGCAGGCTTGCTCTTACACTGACACGCGCCCAAGAAGTTTTCAATTCTTCGGGCGCTGTTGGCGAGGGCAAAGACAGCCGGAGACTGAAAGGAGTGCAAAATGGGCAGGCGTTTTACTTCTAGAAGAGTCTCGCTCCTTCTAGTTGCCCGTTGCTTTGTAGGATCACGGCATGTGTATACATGGGACAGGCGCTTTCCTTCAGCCGACCACCTGTGCGTGGGACAGTTCTGAATGCCCGGGCCTTGACGCAGCCGGTATGCTGGTGTTCCCAGGAAGCTTCGAGAACAAGACAGCATCTCAGCTAAGGCCAAGGGTGTGCTGGAGGTTCCGCCACCTCTGCGGCGGCAGGCTCGTGCTTGCAGCTACCACTTAAGTGAATTGAGTGAGTCGCTGGAGTCCGGATCTTGTCGGAGCGGAACGACCGTTCTTCTATGGCTGCGGATACAAAAAACGCCCATCGCAACTCCTGGGGCTGAGATAGTTCGTTAACCAGAGCGACGTTAGAGTTCACACCACCCTGGATTCACATGGCTTATTGCTGCTGTCGCAAGAAAGGGAGGCACAACGACTTAGACAGACGGGCGTTTTGGCAAGCTCATGGCCTCCGGTGCCATCTGCGTAGAACACGCCAGGTTCACAAGCAAATAAGCTAGCAGAGGCTGCTTGGGGCGACAGCTCTGCAGGCAGAAGCTGATTTTGGGAGGCAAGCAGTCTCAACACGAGGAGACGAATCTGAGTCTGTCGAGGAACGACATCCCCTAGCCAGGACAGATGTCGAAAACCAAACCTCTTTATCCCGATCTGTTTCAGATGAAGAGGATGCTGACCAGGCTCTGGGACGGAAGCTTGTGGCGTTGACGGCAGCATGAGTCTTCGCCATGTTGCACGATGTCAATCACATAGTCGCCTTGAGCTTGCACAAGTCGGCAGAAAGTGAGTTCAGAGCTGGGCTGGCTCCCAAGACAATGTGCCGAAACCCGGTGCAGTGCAGTAGGCCAGTCGGAGCTGGCTTTGTCTGCGACCGACAAACTTGTTGGTGTAGTCACTGTAGTCTTTCTGCTTGGCCGCCACAGCGGCAGGTCATGCTCCTCTTCGAAGTCAGCACGCGGGTGCTGAAGTATGCAGCGCCCGTCGAGGCTCGGCAAACACAGATAGTGCCAGGCCTGCTGAAGCTGCAGTCTGGGAGCAGATCGCAAGGCGGGCGAATCACTTCAACAGCTGTTCGACGCGCATCCAAAGCTGAGGCCTGTCCGCTGTACCACTGCTAGGCAGTCAAGAGACTCGAGTTGTGCGCAGGCAAGCGTTCTCATCTTCCGTATGGATGGCGATGCTCCCACTCGATTGTTTATCAGGTGTAGCATGCCGTAGTAACATAAGTGCATTGGCCTTCCTCAGGCAGAAGATGGTAAGACGTTGAAACGCGAGCTTGGCACTTGGGCACCTTCCATCGATGATTTACGAGTTTGGTTGAAGGAGAGGCAGACGGAGCTTCATGTGCCTCAAGCTGTAAGCTTTTCCAGCTTCACTGCAGAGCTGACATGTTCTGTACCTCCAGCAACATTCGTTCTTAGCGAAGCAGGAGGTTCTCTCAACATCTCTTCGCACCTCTTCTGTAGTCTCCTTGGCGTTCAGCGCGACGGCGTTTCAGGGGAAAGTTACTTCTGCTTTATTCTGGTCTTGTACTTCGCAGCTTGGATTGCTACATGCTTGCAACGATGGCGCAAGGCACAGTCTGCCGAGCCCGAGAGCTCTGGGCATCCTTACTCGCTGCATAAGGGCCGTCTCCCTTTGCAAATTTTGTACATCGGACTAACTCGAATCAGGCTGCATGCCGCGTTGGTGCACGGAGCGCGGTGAGCCCTTCACGAATGACAGCATTGGTTTAGCCGGAACCGGGATCACGGGCTCTTAAGTACATGATGCCGCGATGCTACCCGGAGACGCAGAAGACATCAGCCCTCGTGTGGAACATTTGTGTCGCAATTCGTCAAAAGCCGGGGAACTAGCCAGTGTGGATGTTTCGGGCCACTTCACAACAATTCTACGAATGCGGACTGTAGGCACACGAGCCAACAATCTCGTCAGACGAGCTGGGACCGCACAGGGCACTTGAGGGCTCACATCCCAAACGGTGTGGCCTTGCGGGCGTACTCGTGTCAGCCAGCAAGCACTGAAAGGGAAAGGTGTCAGAGAGCACGCGACAATATGCTGGCATCGCAACAAAGCATGTCGCGGTGTTTATCGTAGTGTTCGTTTGTCTCTGCTGAAACTGCCTGTGCTGTCTTCTTTTCCCGGTATCGAAAGTTGGTGCTGAGTTAACCTGCACTTTTTCCTTCAACCCAATTTGCTGCTCACTCATCGGGGCTGCGGCTTAGCCTCAACTTTCTGTCTTCCCAAGGTTCCAACCGCCGAAACGTGGCGGGGCCAAGGATGCCAAAAGGCCGAAGGCAGCTACATGAGTACGGCAGCCATCTGCAATATGTACAGCTCGATTAATCAAGAAACAAGGACAGAAAATCTCTCAAATTCCATTTCATTTCAACCTATAATGAAATAAAAATATGCGGATCTCATACTCTCAAAAATGAAAATATATCAATTTACTTCAAGAATAATGATATATATAATTTCAATTTTGAATACAAGATTAATTAAACCGTCTCCAAACAAAAATTAAATTCTATTTTATACAAATTGTTGTAGTATACTTGTAGGCGAAATGACAACTTTATGCCTATACCGACCATATATTCGGATTATTCGTGGATCTACTTAATCCGAATTAATACGATTATTTATCTATTCGTGACTATTTTGGCTTAAAAAATCTTGAAAATTTTTCTTTTCCCGTCTTCTCTAATCCCGAATCTAGGTTTCACGATTTTCTTCTGTTTTTTTTCTGATGAATCGACTAGAAATTGATCGGACTTTAGGATATCGACTATATATTTCTATAAGAAATACGAAAGAAATTTGATGTCGAAATTAGACTCTAAGGGAGTCGTATCGTAGAAAATGTTATCGATGTGAAAGTAATTGGAGAAGTACGTTTGTTAGGGATTTATACAGATATATATGGAAATGGTTGTTATCTCTGTATTTATTTCGAACCCAAGGCATGGCCAACTCCCGCCCTTCGTATTTTTCCGATCGCTAACACCAAATAAAGTGCTATTGGATTTTATATTGTAGAATTTTTAATTCGAATTTTAGATTCGAAAGATATTATATTTATGAGCTTTTTGATATTTAATCGAGAAAAAAATTTTCATCCCTGATTTTTTAGTATAGATGATGAAAGATATTTTTCTGAATTATAAATTAATTAAAGATATCTCTAATTTCTTCCGATTTCTCTGGTTTTTTTCTATTTTTCTTAATAAAAATATCTTATTTTCTTCCCCCCGCCCCCGTCTTTATTTTTCGCATATTTTTAAAAAAATAGATAGGACCTTATTTTTCAGAAGAATTAAACTTTATTTTTTATTAAATCGAATATAAAGAATATCTATTTACGGTCTTTTATCTATTTCAAAAATTTTCGTTGCCTACCGATTCGGATTCTAATGGTTCTCGCCTTTTATATTAGGCAGATCTAATATTGGAATCTGCTTGTCATTATCTTATCTAGAAAAAGAATTAGGAAGATATGGGTAGACCGCCTCTATTTGATTTGATCCGGCATTTATATAAAATAGACTTTCAATATTATTTCGCTAGATTATATAATCTCCCCAGCAAAAGAATATTTTTGATTTTATAGAGCCGACGATTTTTCTCTTTCCAATTTTTCCTTTATCAATCCGTCTTGAATTCTAGATTATATTCGGATAACGATAAAAAAAGAAAATCAAGAGCTGACTAGATTATGTGATTAATCTTTATATTAAGCCGACGATCGTATTTCTATATATCTTTATTATTTCTATGATTTGATTTGACATATATATCAATTCTATCTTCCTATAGTTGTACAATTATACGATAATATAAGATCATAGGTATTGATATATGAAACTATTTAATTTGATATTTTTCTAATTCTCATATAGAAATGATATCGATATTCGTTAGATTCCGATTATATTCTAGTTTCATAAATTATCTTTATATCGATGTGTCCCTATGGTTATATATTCCAAGTATTCTTTGGGACTGGATATTCCAATAGATCTGACGGAAAGCTACGGGCTTTAGGGAATCTAACGGATATCTCTGGGGATGGGCGCTCCAAGGAATCCTATGCAAATTTCTGGAATTCCAAGAAAACTCACGAAAATCTCTAGGATTGGGCGCTCTGTCGGCAGAAATTATAGCTTCTGGAAAGCGTCTCAACGGGCGAACGAGCGGCAAGAATAATTAATATTAGAATCGAATAAATTCATTCCGACAATAGAGAAAATAATAAATATTTAGGTTTAGAATTTTTTCAAGGCTAAATCAATTATTCCTCATGATTCGCCATATAAATAAAAATAAATTCAATTTCACTAATCAAATTTCAATAATATCTAATCAATATAATCACGAATCTTATAAAAGATCCTCGGCGATAGGATCCCTTTCGGATTCTCTTGGGTAATATAAACCGATAGCTAAAAAAAATATGGTTTTTTTATTCTATTCTATTCTTATATTTAATAGTAATAGAAAAAAATTACGACGACTTCATAACTCTTATAATCGAATATTTTCAAGATATCTTATATCTAGCTAAATTTTTTTCAACCTTCAAACCTCGATATCATATATATATATATCTAACCAAATCCTTTTCAGAATCCAAATCTTTCGACTTTCAAGAAAAAGAAATTAAAAATCTAACCTCATATACGATATATGTCGAAACGAATTAATAGAATTAAAGATTCATCTTATTTAATAGAGCTTATTCAATTTCATCTTATTTAATAGAGTTTATTCAATTTCAGAATATATTTTGAGATGCCTAATAGAATCAAGAGCTCAACAAATTAATTCATCCCAAAAATCGATTTCTACACGACCCCTCACCCTAAATACTTACATTTTTCAATGTTTTAATAAATATCATAAAAATATAGAACGTCTATAATCGAAATCATAATAAGAAAAGATATTTTGAATATTTTTTCTATATATTATATTATACCTATTCAAGAATATCTTAATAAAATATAACAGAAATCTCTATTTACCTATTATATCAATAATTTTAATATAAAATATAAGTGAAATAATTTAATCTTTCGCCCAATGCCTCATATCTTCTAAATAATAGAAATTAAAGTCACATGTAAATTTTAAAAATTTTATATCAATCAGAATATATATTCTAAACCGATTAAAGAATTTGAATTCAAATCTTAATCTTTTAAATCTTAAATTCGAAAATCAATTAACAATTTTTCCAATGACTTATCATATGAATAGCGACAATCATCCCATTGTTTTTTCTGAGATGTTTTAGTATTTCCCGGGGGTTCAAGCCGTAAATTCAGTAAATCTTAAATTCAATATTCGTTAGGCATAGACAACCCATCTATAATTCTATCAATTTTTCCAAAGCCCTATAATATAAGCCCAGCGACAACCATTCTACTCTTAGAGATTTTGAGATATGCAAGAAAATTGTTATCAAAATCCTTCTTGTCTCAACAAACATTATAAGCTAACCTCCAAATTCGGAGTCGGTGCCCTCAGTTTTTCTTGCTTTCCAGGGCTGCAGCCCTCCAAATATTGAGGGCTCAGATTCTCTATTTGGAAGGTTGCTACGGTGGACACTCTCACAAGCTCCATCGCTTCATTCTCAGCCATGGCTTAACAATTACCTGACCTGCTCTTATAGAGCTACAGAAACCGATAGGCTCTGAAGAATGCTCTGGAGTAGTGGTTTTGCGGCCTCTTTGATGCCTGTGGACCCTGGCTCAAACCCTACCAGTAGCTAAGAATGTGCAAAGTGTCCGTGCCTCCCTGAAGCCTGGATGGTGGCGAAACTGCGGAACTGTCCAAGACATGTAGAGCAGCCATTAATCTGAGCCCCCGACCTGCCCGAGCAGATTCTTAACCAGTACTTGCGCTGTAGTTCCAGTTCTAGTTCGAAAAACATGCCCCGTGTCACAGCCAAAGCCGCGGGACCGCTGGGTGCCCCCGCCGGCCGCCCCTGCACCTCCACAGACCAATTCCTTCTGCTGGCAATCCGCAGTGGGTTGCACCACACGGCGCAACAGGACAAAGACCTTGTCAATGTAAGGCGGCAGCATTGCTAGTCTTAAGACACTGACGGGTATGCAGTGTGCTGCTTCAGCACCATCACAACTTCCTGCACCAACCACAGAGACGACGACACAGACAACGGAAACGATGGCAACAGCAATACCCACCACAGCAACGACCTGAACCAGAATGACAATCAAAGCACCCCCATCATGGTAGTTGGGTCCCTGGGCTCGTCATTTGCAATGCTGACCAACCTGCTTCGCAGCTGCCGTGCTTCATGATTTTTATGCCTGTCCCGCCAAGGCGAAAGAGAAAGAAAAGCTTCCTAGTCCTAGTGTCGCTGCAAGTTCACGAACTTTGTGTAACGAAGCCCTGGAAACTCTTGCCAACTCCTGGTGCATGTGTCCTGTGTGCTCTGGTCGCACCCACTCTGACCAAGTTTTTTCTGCTACGATTCCTGTATCGCAGTGGCTGAGGTCTCTGGAACAGGCTGACCTTGTGGCTTCCAAATACTGTGTTGGAAGGTAGAGAGCAGTAAAGTGGAGCCAGATTCAGACAGCACTTGATTCAGCCAGCAGTGCAAAGTGCCGAGTGCTATGTCAGGTGCGGGTCAGGGTCTTTCAAGCTTCAAAGTGCTGTGTGAAACTGCAACCATTGATCCGATTCATCCAACTTCTATGGACAAAGCAAAACAAAATCGCTGACGGGCGCGAGTCAAACCGGCCTGATTTGCGTCACCCAACGGATCCACTGATTGCTTACACTAAGGCCAAATGCCCTTAGGATCTTGGGAGAAGTGCAAGCCTCTGTCACACATCGCGTGTTCTCAGCGTCCTCTTCGCTATCGCTGCACATCAGGCTTTCTCGCCATCTCCGTCAGCGAGCACATGCACATCGGCATCTGGTGGGACAAGCGCCAGATGCGTGACAAACTATTTACATGTGTCTTGGACAGCAAAAAGTAACTGCGTATTGGTAGTGCGTTTTTTTCAAGTTGTGCAGCACGTCAAGTGCGATCTCCAGAATTCCATGGCGATAACCATCATTAGGGTTTCTGCGTGTGCACACAAGCTTTCTCTAGGCATGAAGCTGCAGCAGCTTTCTGCTGAGCTTCTCTCCGGTATTTATTAAACATGTACTCGAGCCAAAAACTAGGTCGACTCCCAAGGATGATGCCAGGCAACCTTAGTAACGGTCGGATTCATCGAACTGCAATAGCTTGTTAGTGGAATGAGAGGACCGAGCCATGATCACCTGCAGTTTCGTGAGACCAGGGCTCATCACCTGCAGGACCTTGCGAAACGTAGTGCGCAGTGCCTCTTTCATTCTCTTGCCACATGTTCGGCTGGAAGTATCCAGGGCGTGAACACCAGGCGCCAAAGAAATTGCCTCAGCTCCTCTGGTGTCTGAGCACCTGTAGCCACGAAGCTTCCCAACAGACCCGCAAGGCCCGAGATGCAAAGCTTCCGACGCAAGCTGGCACCTGTGCTGCCTGCGCCGACCTGCCAAGGACAAGTCGAATCCTCCCTGAAAAGCCCACAGCTCTTCAATTTGTTTTCCTCAGTCCTATTCGAGCGGAAGCATAGTCGAGCAGAAACACCGTCCCGGACCGAGCCTTTATGGTAAGGAAATCTCGCGGCGCTGCCTCAAACCTTAATGTCTGCATGAGCACACAACGTTTGCCAAATCGTGCTGCTCCTGAGAAGGTGGCATTGTCTCGTCCGAAACATCGTCGCCTGCAGCTAGAACAGCAGAATATGGCCTCGTTGCCAGGGGCAGCATGGACGTAAGTTGAAGCAGTGAATCAGCCCATCCGCAAGAAGAGCTGTCTGTCTGAGGCTGGAGCTCTCCAAAGAGAGCCTTCTCTTCGCACAAACGTCTCATTACCAAGCCTGTTTGGTGGAAACTCAGCATTTGTCAGTGCGGCCGCTGTAAAAAGAAAGCAAACCCATGTGTCTACATGCAGGCAGGAGGCCTTTCCGAACATTCCGGTAAGACGCCTGTGAGCGAAAAGCAAGAAACCTTGTAGCTCTCTTCTCCGACAGGCTTAATTTGCTTCGGGGCTCGGCCTCCAAGACCTTGTGGCCCTTGGTGAGGTTGATGTCCTGAAGGGCAAAGCAAGTCGAACGAGTCTTACTGGACTCAACTTGGGTTGTGAGAGCTCTCCTGGAGTCGCTCACGTTTGCACAACTGCTCCAGGTCCTCAAACGCCTGAAGAGGGCGGATGGACCGGACAGATGTAAACTGATTGTAGTGCTTGCTTTCGCAAGGGCTGTGCAACAACATCAACAACCTCTGCCCAGTGTCATGAGTCGGCAGTGTCGGCCTTCGCAACAGCAGTATCTGCTGCAGCCTGCGGACTGCGCCAATACGACTGAAGTGACTGCCTACCGGGTGTTTTTGTCGCTCTGGGAAGCTTGCTGTTGTTACCGGCATGTCTTGCAAGTGCTATGTTCCTGGAAGCTTGTTGTGGTTCGAGCCGCTTCTAAGCTGATGCCCTCGACTCACAGGTGCAAGCGAAGCGGCACAGGCCCCCTCTCAGAAGCTTGCAATAAATTATGCGCGGCACGGATCAGCGATGAATATCCACTTGCGCATCGCTGCAGCACCCCGCCTCGTCTGCCAGCTGTCGGTAGTGCCACACGAGAGATGACTGCTTCTCCTTACACAGCGCAGGGAAAGACACCACCGGACACAAGAGAAAAACCAGCAGGAGACCAGTGGCCTCCACACGGCTGCCTGGATTCTGATCGGCCAGTCGGGACATGGCCTCACCTTAGCAGCAGCTTTGAGAAAAATCTGAACCCGCATAATTACGCACAAATAAACTCTTCTACCTGCGGGATAACTTCGCTTCGCAGCCGGTCTTGTCTGATTCGAGGTATGTTTGGGTGCTGTGCTGACCATTTTCTGTGGGTCGGGGATAGCCGGCAACAGTTGCGTCAGTTTGAGCTTCCGACGGAGCGTTGCCTTCCAATTTTTGTGCTTCGTGAAATGATTCGCATCCTGAAGGCCGGCTTCGATGCGCACGCTGAGCTGTGACTGCAATCATTTGCTGAGTGCATCACGCCACCAAAGTGTTCCCAAAGCTTCCAACTCCGGCAATCACCGTCTCGGGAGCAATGCGCAAGGACACCGAAAGCTCAAGTGACTCTGCAGCTTCATGCACGTACTTCAATCCGAAGACTTGATACTCAGAACTTGCATGATCCGAACCTGCTACAGGTGGTGAGATATGGTACCCGTGCTCGGCGATCAAAGTGAAGGCGTTCAGACCTGGGGGGGCTGTCTTTGCAGGCAGTGCACAAGGCACAAACATTCCACATCCTTTCTGACTGTGTTTAAACGGCTGCTGATTACAGTTCGCCCCGCGCTTCCTTAACCAATAATTTGTGCCCCATTTGCAATGAAAGACCGGTGCGGATGCTCGGGCGCTTTGCGGACATCGAGCCCCGGGCTTCCGAAATGAGCTTCCAGGAATTCGGAGCTGCGGCCGCTGATGATGTGTGGCCTGCCATGAACCGGACTCTGGAATCTTCCGAATCGAATCGAAAATCCAGGCTACCACAACGTCCTGCAGATGGGCATGAAGGCTTTTGTAAGCAGGTTTTGGTATGCTTTGATTTGCTTTCGGCGCCGACCGATCTGCTTGTTGTACCTGTGACGGCCATGGTCTCGGTACTGATCCTCCTGATGCTTGGCAGCAGGACGACAGCCTGCAGTTCTCTGACTCCCGGGTCATCAAACGGAGGCCGTGCTCGGCATGGGCACCATACATCGTGTACACACTCTTCATTCATTGCTCTCGACATCATGTTGAACAACATAAAGCCTGACAAACGTTGCATGCCGTCAAGTACTTGAGAAGTGGTTGTCTGGTGGGCCACTGAAATCAGAAAGGTGCACAAATGGGCAGCCCTCCGAATCCTTGTTGTGTCCCTCGTCTGGCCTCAAGTCTGGACGGTCGTTGAGTGCCTGATGACCACAAGGAAGCATTCACGCGCTCCGTGGCGGCAGCACCCATGTGGACATCCGCCACTGGTCATATCTCATCGACGGCAACCAAGGCCCAGTTTTTGATCGTTACTTGGGGCAACCTCGTGGGTCAGGCATGCAGTCCTGCCTGCAGCAGGCTCATCAACTCCGATGTTGGGACCTGATGGCAGCCATCTGCTTGGCATCACAGGTGTCGGCCGGACATCCAAGAGTTTGTGGACACAAGAAAGGAGCCAGTGACTTTCGAGCTTAGCAGGTGCGCACAGACTTGAAACTCAGTTTTGTCCAAGTCGCTGCAAGCTCTGGGCTGCTCTCGAACTCCCGCAAAGTTCCGTCCTGAGCTTGAACCATATTACTGACAGCGAGCTTCACTGATGAAAGGAAAAATCCGAGGCAGCTACGTAATCCAGGAAAAGGGCTTTAGGCCTTAGCCACATACAACATGTGCAAACATGCGCCTTCCTAGGGGCAGGGCATGCAGCATGCATTTCTCTTGGCACCATGTTAGTCGTGATCTGAGCCCGCTGACGAGACCAAATCCGAAGGCCAGAAGTGCTGCAAGGCAGCATCCGTGTCCAGCCTATGCTTGGTTGCAGCGCTTGTTTTTCCACAGCTGCTGCACGCAGAATCTCAGCACTCCGCGCGGCGAGTGGTTGCGTGGAAAGCGGCAGGAAATCTTCAGTGGAGTCAGCCTTGCAATGCATAAAATGCAAGGAAACCAAACAGTCGGCAAAAAATGCTTCCAGCTTGCCTTTGTAGGGGACAGCTCGACACCGCCCTCCAGAAACTCCTGCGGCGAGTGCCAAGCAGCAATGCTCGAAACCCGACAGGTACCTGCAAGTTTCAACTTCAACTGCTTCTTTCACATTCTGTCGCACCGTGTGCTCTGTCTGTGCTGTGTGTGTGTGTGCGTGTGCGCACGCCTCAACAAGACAAAGCGCCCCAAAGTCTGCAGCAGCAGATTCGCTTCATCCTGTTTATAGCCATTCCGAGTAGTCGGCAATCATGTCGGCATTCCGATGCCTATCTTTCTCTGCGAAGTTGCGAGAGCTCTCCAGAGATGGCACCACACTACGCAAGGGGAAGTGCCAAGTACGCGCACCCAAGCAGATGCTTGTGCGTGCGCCAGGGGACGCTAGCAGAGTGCGGGTGTGCGACCGAGCGGCGTGGGTGCGAGGGTGTGTGCATGTGAGTCAAGAAGATGTGAAAATTCCCGTGCCGACATGCTGATGTTTGCGATCCGTTGTGATTTTCGTCCGTAGAACCAAATCAGCCATTGTGAGATTTGTCGATGCGGTGCAGGTGTGAATTTACCATCTAGTGCTTTCGATTTTGAGCCCTGTAGCAGCTGTGCTTGCAACTTGTGAGAGCTCTTTGAAGCGAGAAGAAAGCCGATCATGAACACACCCACCTCGTTAATTGGGATGTCGGCTCCCACCCGCCATTCCCGGAGATGACGCAAGACAGGAAGACCAATTGCCCTCGAAAGGACAAAGGCCCAACGCCTGACTTGCTGTATGTCATCCTGCCCGTTTGCACCTCGTCCTCCCCGAAGAGAGCGCCCCGAAAAGGGAATGACCTTTGCCCCGCGCGAGTGCGGTATATGACTGGCACGATAGCTGGCGTAAGACGTGGCACTCGACAGAGACCTTGATCACGATCCGAAATGTAACGAGGAGTGGTGCGTGCGTCTGACGCAAGTCGCGATAGAGGAGTCGATAGAAACGAGACAGCCGACACGGAGCCTGTGGGATCGCAATGCTTTCAAAGGATACAGGTCACTTGTGAACTTGAACGCGGTTTTCCAGGGGGCACCACGTGGAGGTTTGGTGCGCGCTGAAGATTCCCTGCCGGAAAGGAACCTTGTGTGTGGGTCGCACACAGGTCGTGGTGAGCGTGTAAATGAGCAAGCGCGTACCCTCGACATGTCGGGCCAAGATAGGTGGGTCTTTCATCGCACCTGCTTCTTCAGGCTACCTATCGAGTACACTCACAGCAGGCACCTCCAAACAGTGCTGCTTGAGAGCAACATAGAGCAACTTACGAACTGCGGTATTGCCGTACAACATTGCCACCCGAATAAGCCACATGCATGCAGCAGCCTGGTCACTTGGGAAGTCGCGCAAAAAAGGTGACCTGTCTCACGACTGCGAGGTGAATACAGAAAAAAGACCTGGCCTGTGTGAGCCAAGCTGGGAAATGCATGTCACGTCTAAGCTTTGAACTGCACTGGCGGCGAGCTGGGAGAAGTTGTTGTTCTAGACAGGATGGTGATGGTGCTGCTGGTGCTTGCACCTCATGCCACAATATGCCACAATTGTGATTGATCTGCTCCGTAGTTTCTCAGCATGCTCTTTGAGAGCCCGGCTGCAGCCTCCGTTGTTGGATGTGGCCTGCTGCAAACACCACAGACATGATGTGCTGGCTGCAATCTGCACTTGTGCATCCAGCCTCCCACACCTGCAGCTGACCGCCTTGTGCTCCACCGCCTAAACACTCCGGGACTCCGTGGCCGTAATACGCAGGCTGGACATGTCTCAGCTTCAACGGTCATTCGAGCGATCCCTGTCCATGCTTTGCCTAAGTGCGGCGCACTTCGTGCCAGTGTAGGCACTCATGGCAAAAAACTCTGCTGGCAGGCGGATACCTGACAACTCATGCAGAGTGCGTACAAAACGCTTGGAGTCTTACGATCGGCCTCCGCGCCGCAATGCTTTTTCCCCGACGATTTGTAGACCTGCATGTCTTTGCGATATGACTCGACACTGCATCGGCATGGCAAGTCTTGACCACTCAAGGTCACAGGTGGCTGAAGAGTCCAATGGTAGGATCTGGGACGTGGTTCTCTCTCAATGCGCACGGCGATTTCTTGCTTGTTTACTTTCATGGCACATCAGTACAGAAGTTCCACGACCCAAATGGCCACATCGCGGCGCTTTCCCAGCACTTCCAGCTTCATGTCTATAGGACCGTCTCGGAAGAACACATCTCCCGGCTTGAGTAGGCGGTCCCCAAGCTCGCCTCGCACGTGTGCTCCGCGGTGAACCACGAACAAAGCTCTTGCAAACGGTATGCGTCCAGCCCAGGATGTACCAGCCGCCAGATCCAGGTCGTGAACCCGGGCCCCTGGCCTTTCCTTTGTCAGCCGCAGTCCTGTTGGCAGATTCGCAGCTTCAGTCCTTGGCCGCTTCGCCGCGGCACCGTCAGTCTGCGTGTTCTGGAACCCAGCAAGCTCTACGTCCAGGCACATCATCACTGGCGGACCCTTGTTGTAGATTTTGTGAGTCAGCAAGCAATTCCCGTGATCACCATAACGAACTTCACCACAACTAAGTATATCATCTTTGGGCTCCTCGTGGAGTTTGGTCCCTTGCACTTGTGCTGCGGTAAAGAAGAAATACAAACTGTCCACTCGGTGAACATGCATCAAAGTAGTGTCTCCCGGTGGATTCTCTACACGGAAGACCCTTACGTGTTCGTTGGAAAAAGCTAGCCAGTGGCGTGGCTCTTCATAGATTTCCACCACTGGCTTCAACAGCAGCGGATCCACATACTCTGCAGCGAAATCTGCTGCAATTGCGGCTGCCGAGCTGTCACACATCAGTCCAAGCGCGCGTGCCCGTGTTGCGTCCATGTTTTTGTGAAAAGTGGATAGCTTTCCACAGAGCTCCGCGTCCGGTTCATAAGTAATGCTGCCAAGCTTGGAGGGATCTTTCACAATTTTGAGCAGAGACTCGGCAAGGTCTTGCAATGTAACAGACAAGGATGGCATGTTCATGCATCGATCGATGGACTCAGCGAAAGCTGCTGCAGGCAGGTTGGCCAAGTGAATCAGATTCCTGACAAGAACACGGAAGCCACAGACAGCATGCTTCATGTCTGGCTTCAGTCGCAAGACAGCGGGCTCTCCTTTCAATGGTTGTCGCAAGATGTCTGAAAAAGCAGCTGGAAGCCCAGAGTTGGGTTCCGGTCGTGGAATCACAGTTGGTAAGCGCGCTACTCGGCCATCCACAAAGCCGCGGCGCGTAAAGTCGTTGATGACGAGTTCCATACAGGCTTTGGTCATCCCATAGCTGGTGTGAGGCAAAAGCTTTGTGGTGTCGGTCTCCGGGCCGTCAGACCTTTCCCCGAAGCAAGCACCTGAAGATGCAAAGACAAACTTGCAACCGTGCCGGCCCCGACATGGCTCAAGCAAGTTGCGGGTTCCTTCCACATTTACTCTCCAACATATGTCGAAATCCTTCTCCCCTTGGCCGCTCATGACAGAAGCCAAATGAAAGATTACGATGCCATCCTCGTCAACGAGAGACTTGACCTCATCTGCGTTTGTAATGTCTCCCACTCGGACCTCGATGCGCGAATCTCTTGGCATGTCCTTTGGTGGAGAACCGGCATCAAAAAGCACAAGCTTGCGAACCACGTGCGCGCTTTCATCTGCACCGATCAGTTCGCCCACAGCCAGGATTCGCTTGCAGAGGTGCAAGCCCAGAAAGCCAAAGCCACCCGTGATGATGACTTTCATAGCTCAGAACGGGCAATAACTAAGTGTTGTACCAAACTACCAAAAGACTGTCTGTTCAGGAAAGGCTCAGCAAAGCCTGGGCAACGACTGAACAGAATCACAAAGACACGGATGCAACTTTGCAGTGACAAGAGGCGCTCAAAGCCCTTGGGCCTGAATGCCCGAATCCATTTACGTCGATTCACTTTTGAGTTTGGCAAAAGTTCCTGTCTTGTGCAGCTACGTGATGCGGGCGAGCACCACTGTCGGGGCATGTTGCTTGTCACCCGTTCTCGATGTTGCTTGGCTGGAGATGCTTCAGTTGCGGCTCTTCGGCATGAGGTTGCGCCATATAGCGCCGCGTTTCACTGGCAGGTACAGGCCGGCGGAACTACAGCAGATTTGCTCCCTGGCTTTACCTTACCCGGATGCCAAGTGACACTGAAATCACTCGCAAGGAATCCATGTCTGGGGCGAATCATGTCAGCAAGCAAGGTCAGAGCTCCCGCGCTGCGCTGGGTGCCACGCCGTGCAGCTCTTTCAGCTCGAACACCTGCCTCGGCAAGCGATGCGAAAGCAGTACGCATGATCGGAACTGACATGTTCCCGTGCCTGCCAGCGCAACCAAGCACAGAGGTGGCGGCATGCAGTTTAAGCGCATGTCTGTGACTGTGCTGCTTGCTATTGATTTGTTTGGAGTCTGCGGGGGGCTATCTGGCAGGCGATATATAGGGCCGTCATGTCATGCAAATTCCAAGTCTCAGCTGACAATGTCCTGTTGCAGAGCAAGGCAGGTCAGGCCGAGGCCTGCGTCAAAGTCATGCTCTTGCAAAGGCATGATGTGACGGCTCAAGCCGAAAGCCGAAAACGCCATCCAGTGCTCCCAGCTTGCAGACTAGCCCAGACTAGCACAGCATCTGATGCTTGTTGACCAGATATCGCAGTGACGCGATTGTGTGGCGATTCGCGTTGTCGGAGCCAAGGAGCTTTGCTCCAATGAAACCTTGCAATGCTCAGCCTTGAGATTGGCAATTTCTTACTGCCCGGCTGCCAAGGAGATTTGCTCCACGAAAACATTGCCATGCCGAGCCTTTTATGATTGCCCGGCTGCTTGCTTGTTCCTTTGTACATCAGCAGGGTTTGGGACGTTTAGTGCGCCAGTTGGCCCCTGGAACTCAATTTGTACCTGGATCACCTCTGGTGTGGAGGACATGGCCGTGCACCGGAAATGGTGTTGGAAGACGGACCGGACAGGCAGCAGGAAGGTTCAGATCGAGAAGGTCCCAATATCCCCACCATACCGATCTCCTGACCAGTTTCCATTGCCAAAGCAGCCAAGTCGCCTTCAAATGGTCGGACAGCATTCACACCTGGAAACCCTATGTCCGATGCATTGCCTTGGAGAAGCCGCGAGATATTCCCAGCCGGGTTCTCGATCCAAATGATCAAATCTGCTAGCCAAGTGCCCAAAGTGACACTCATAGTGTCGGCCGCACAGATCCCCCCCCACCAGTGCGAAGTTCGCGCAAAGCACGGCGCTGGGCACTAACTCGCCACCCAGATTATTTGGGTAAACGTCGTCTGGAATGATCTGCGGTAGACCCATTCCAAAATTTTGGATGACAACAGGAGTCGAAGGGCATCGGGTGGTGGTGCTGCTGGTGGTGGCGATGGTGGTGGTGGTGGTGGTGGTGGTGGTGGTGGAGGGACTGCAGGCGAAGAATAGCAATTGGATTGCGCCGAATGTGGCCCCTGCGATAGGGCCATTCTTCCAGAGAGCGGTGATGCGTTGAAAGGAAGGCCACCTCCTCAGATTGGCAAACCTCTTCGGACCTGCCACTCCAAAAACACAATGAGCATACTCCATGTCACAATGACCTGATTCCACATGGCCATCGCGCAAAAGAAGTAAAGAAGCAAACTGGCTTCACCATACAAAGTTCAAAATTGCTTGAGCCATAAATGTGGTCTTCGAGACAAGCATTCATCGATTCAACTTCCGGTGTGCATTGTTTCAATCGAGCTGAATCTGTTGTGGGAGTTGCAGCTGCAAACCTCCCCGCAGACACCCTGGCTTCTCCTATGGGGCGCTTTCTGCTAATGGACTTTGTACAATGCGCAGCATTTACCGCACAGCACCGCCAGCGAAGCCTCAAAGCTTAGGCACAACTGGACTCTGTTCGGAAACTTCTGAGCGCTATGTTTCTGTTGCAGTCTCATCCAAGCACGGGAGTCGCACTTGAAGAGAACTTCTCCCAAGTTGTCGTCACGGCGGACCTTCTCATTGCGGGGAAGCACACATCTTTAGTACTAGGCTCACCACACACTGACGTGTGGTCTTTGGACTTAGGCCATGGCAGCAGGCCACTCTCGTCGCCCTTGTCTTTAATGGCTCTGACCTCGAGACTCGAGGGATGATCGGGTGCCGTCGTGCCGAGCAAAATGAAGAAACTTTACACGTTCATATCAGCGCTCACTGAGTAACCGAAACTGGGCTCCCGACGAGCACACAAAATTCTTCGAAGCTGATGGCACCATTGCCATCATGGTCCACGGCCTCACACTGCTGATGTCGCGCATTGCGCCCGACCGTGCCGAGGTCACTACTGCGCTGAAACCCGCTGCTCTGGCGCCTGAAAGATTTTCGCCACGTCCTCATCCTTTACATCCTGAGTGCGACGAAGGGGGCGCATATTGCCTACACCAGTGAGCTGACGAGTCCTCCGCCATCAACTTCAAGGCTTGCTTCAGCTCGCTCACGTCGATCCTCGCACCCATCTCGGCCCGAGACGGTGACACCCCGAAGAAAGCAAGTGAATCAGGCAGTGCGAAGCACCTAGCCTGCCATTCTGATCCGAATCGAAGAACTTGTATGCCTTTTTCATCTGCTTTTCGGTCCTCAGGTGGTCTGCATCGGCTGCAGCCTGGCCTAAACTTTAAACTCAGGTTGTGTAAAAAAGATCTACTTCGCCGGCGAAACAAAAACTGCGTAACTTCCCTCGCAACGTGTTCTGACTATTCTAATTATACTGTTAGTTTCGATAGGGCAGCGGCTGCCCGCAGAACAGCGCACGGCAGATGGCTACTGCCTCGTTCGTTCCATGAAACTTCCCTTCCAGCGAACTGTCGAACCGAGACGCTGGCCATGGCTTCGCTGTATCCGGCTGCCACCATGTTATTCAAGATGGCCTCGAGAAAAATACTTTCAGCGGCGCTATGATCGGGTCGGACGGCCATGTGCGCACTTGATGGAATTGTCAGGCTCCTCGCTACTTATCCCCCAGTTGGCATTTGCTTGAGCTCCAAGCTTCCGAAGTGCAATTTCAGTCCCAGGCCATTTCCGGGCTATGCTCTACGTGGTCGTAATGCACCCCAACTCCATGGACTTTGCTGAGGATAGAGCACCGGCCTTGCGCATTTCGAAAGGGCCTGGGCTGCACACATCCCCCTTCATCTTCACCAGCAGTCCGTTTCCTAGGTCCTAGCTGCTACTGTAGGTGTCTGGCTCAAGCCCGGTAGGTCCGCAGACCAGGCCGTGGACACTGCTGACCAAGCCTTGCCGGTTCCTGAGATACGCAGGTGCTCCCAGGGACTTTGGCGCGATGGTACTGAGGTCACAACCCGATGCCATGGAACCCATGGCGCCCCCCACAGCTTCAAGGGTGCCCTGGTAGGGCAACTTAGCTTCAGTCATGCCCGGGCCTAGGCTCAGGAAACTCAGGAGAATATGACAAGATTAGCCTCGGCAGAAGACTTGAACACGGCGAAGGCATCGTGGTCTTCACCTTGACCGTGCTTGCATACATGCTGGCAACCGAGAGTTCTGGAAGTCTTCGCATACCAGTTCCGCTGCTCATAAGCTTCTCTGAGTTGCAGCACTGCCTTCCTCACTGTTCAAGCCTTTCACCTGGAGAAGGCTCAGGCGACTGGAGACCGTCGCCGTGAGGGAACTGCTCAAGATGAGGCATGCGCCAGGAAGCAGAACTCTTCAAAATCCAGCAAGCCCTGCTTGTCCTGGGTCACAGTTGACTTGAGAAATACCGTTCGCATGTCTTCAGCACGTCACAGCCTTGTCCACCAGATCGAAAAGCTCGTCAATCTTCGAGTCAGGCACCTGTGGCATAAGTTGTGATGGTGTGCAAGGGTGCTATGCTCATGGTGCTTCTCGCCATCTGCCAGTTTGAAGGCCCGATAGCCTAGCTGGGGAAGCCGCGACTGCTGGTTGGAGCAACTTGCGGCTGAGGGTCCCTCGTCCCGCTCCCGCTCCCACACCACCTCCTCGCCCATCAAAGGCAACGCCTGCCGTAATTCTGCCTTCTCGATCCAGTCGCTCTTGTTCTCGGAGGAGGCGAAGGGGGCAGGTGAGGGCGGTAGGGGCGGAGCGGATGATGCAGCAAAGCCAGGTTCCGGCCGGAAGAATCTACAATGTAAGTAGTGTAAGTGTAGAGAGTGTTTGTGTCTTCTTAGGGTATAGAAGCCCCGGACCCTGGGCTAGGGTAGGCCGTGGGGAAGGGTCTGGGCCTTGGAGCGAGGGCCTAGGCCTAGGGCGGGCATCGGTAGACAAGTCTTGGACTTGCTTCCAAGGCCTCCAACCCGCATGTTTATAAGTTATAAGTGTCAGCGATCTCGAGCATAACTATTGCGAGGGTGCCGGGGAACGAACGGCATCGAACGGCACCCCGGCTACTGGTGTGCTCGAAAGATCTCGAAAGACCATCTCAAATCGCACCAGTTGACGCGGTCAGCAGAATTTTCGCCGCGCGGAAGAACAACCCAGTAGCCGAAACGGATTTTGCACATCCCACAAGATCATGACCACAATGATAGCTGTTTGGCTTTCATGCCATCTTCAGTCCTGGTCGAAAAGCGCGAAGGCTTTTCGAAGGTCTCGTTCTCTCTGTCGGAAAAGTGCGCGGCACAGGATCAGGGCCTGTTTGCACACTCGGTGTGACCGGCCACGCACGTGTTGTGTCCTTTCAGGTCGCAGCCCAGTCGTCTGCATAGCCGGCATTTCGCATCTGCTGTACCACTTTGACAGCCTGCAAGCACGAAACAACGGGCAGAAACATTCCTACCAGCAAGTGCCTTCGCTGAAGTGGCTTGCTTCTTGGATTCTATCTTGTATGTCGGCAAGGCCCGGGGGGTGGGGGGCGTGCTCATACTTGTGATGGCCTAAGCACATGCTGTGTTGCAACTCATGGAGACTGTTTGTCAACAACTCTGATTGCATTACTAAGTTCGTGCTTACGTCAAAAAGACGAACCTGCATCATGTGTAACTGGCATTAGCTGAGAAGTCTTCACATCAAGGGCAGGTTTCGATGCCAGCACTGCCTTTGCAGCTGCAGAAATGCAGGGGGAATCGAGGGAAGATCGAAGGATGGAGGGGGGTGTTTGATAGCGTTTCCTCTGCCGACCTTTGTCCAATCGTTCGAAGGGAGGCATTGATTCCACGTAAAGCCCCCTTCCAGTTTCTCTGAAGAGATGGCTCACTGATGGCTCAAAACCACGGTACCACTGCCATTCTCCACAAAGACTGGCAGCCCTGATGGTGGCGCTTTTGTATCCGCAACGAAACCTTGAGGCCAAGGCCTAGAACCTAGGCTTTTGCTGCACTGACAGCAGGAAACACTTCGGCTGTTGTCATTTCTAAACGGTTCGCGGCTGGGCAAGTCTGCATTGGGATGACGACCCTTCAATGACTGAAGTCAGGAAGCGTAACCATCGATGTGAGATGTGAGATGCTGCATGAGAGTTTGCTGAAGCTTACCCTCAGGTCTCGTCCTGCGACGTGCTTAGGATGCGTTTAAGGTTCGCAGGCCTCTATAGGCCTTTTATGCAGCCTTGGTTGGGGTGCCTGGCACGCACGCCTACCGGGTACTGCCGCGTGTCCGGGTTTGTTCTAGCGTGGACCTCGGCATCCTCTACAAACTGCAATATTATTGCTGTTGAACGGAGCCTGGATCTTAACTGCACAACCCCTTCACAGCAGAACAATTGGCTCGCAAGACTTTTCCACGTGGATTCACGTTCCCGTGCGAGCTTGATCAGCGTAGGCGGCGCGACATCGATGAGATCTGTGACTTCTGCCGGACGCAACAAACCTTTAGTTTAGCACAAACAAACCGAAACATGGCCTTTACTGCTGTGTTGTGCCGGCCCAGCGCTTTGGAGACAACTGTGTAGGTGTCCAACCTTATCGCACTTTCTTCTCTGTGTGCGGACATGAACAACTGCCAGGCTGCAGGCAGGACAAGTGCCTTCTCGAGAATCTGCAGGCACAAGGATCGAGTACAAGAAGCACAGAGGACTTCATCCTGCCCTGCTCCCCTGTTTCTGCCAATCGCGCGCCTCGCTCTCGCTTTCATCGGCTCTCATGAGACGACCTCATCCATGCAGAGTCTGCCCGTCTCTTCTCTTCTGGTTCTGCAGTTTGGAACTCCCTCGGGATCACGGCTGAGCTTGTCGCATAAGGCATGATATGCCTCCGGTCTCAGAGATGCTTGCACCTGGTGCACAACCTGGACAGGGCTTCGTTAGCCTTCTAGACATCCGACCTGTCCATGGTCATCGGATGGCATCAAGCAACAAACTGTGAAGCAACGGCCTCATCTTTCCGTTGCACTCCGCTGGAAGAAGGAGCCTGCGACTGAAGCGCACACGGCTTTCAAGGGGTCAGTGTACTAGTCACATCAAGAACTGGACAGAACTGGCGCTCCAGAAAATCTTCAGCCATCGCAGAAGCCGACAAAAGCTGTAAATGTCTTATGTGCCGACTGTGATAAAGAAAACTCTCAATCCAGCTGAAGTAAGTGAGTGTATGAGTGTATGGTCTGCTTTTGGCAAAAATAGTCTGGTGCTTTAAGCCTTGACGCGGGCTGCTGGACAAGGTCATTACTCAGGCCTGCGTCCTCTACACGGCTGACATTCGATGCTGTGGTCATCAGCTTTCCGAGCAACTCTCGAGGGGGAATCCTTGCACACCGTGGTTGCCAAAGCACAGTGGTCTCAATCTGAGTTCATGCAGACGCATCAGACAGCACTTTCTGAACTGTGAGCCAAACGGTTTCTCCCGATCCAAGGCGATGGAAACGACTTTGCGAATCGCCTTCTTGGGACCTGTCTACTGCATTTGCCTTGGACTCGCATGCGTAGGAGGTGCCCTGAGCAACTGTGTTGCCAGAGGCAAACGCGCACGCGATGCATCACCAGCTGCTCGCAGCAAGTTCGACATATTAATCATGTTTGTACGTTGCACCTTGCGTGCATCGCATCCAGTCATCATCATGTTGCACATTCCAGTGCTGCTAGCAGTGCCATACGTCGTATCCACACAGTCAAAGTCAAAGGCTGAGCAGCCGGGCTGGGACTCGGCTAGAAAGTTAGCATGCCCGCAAGAATCGCTAATTAATACTGCTGGCAGGTCTCGTGAGGAAAGGCTGCCAACTTGAAACTCGCTCGACCAATCTAGGAAGCAATGCTTCAGCAATGCTTCAGCTTCTACCTGTCTCTAACCCATCAGGAGACCAGCGCTGGTCTCGACGACTTGGCTGACTTGACCTTACGAGTATTGTGAACGGTCGTGCTCCCGAACGGTACTTGCAAGAACTACGCCTACGCCTGCTGATGCAGTGGCCCAGTGTGCTTCATGCGACTCCGTTCATGTCACCGCTGCAGCAACCGAACTCAACACGCCCACGCTGCACAGTCAAGTTTATGAAGGCCTCCCAAAGGCTAGAACTGCGGTGCAGCACAGAAGGATCCGAGTGCTGTGCTGCCAGCATATTTTGTTGAAGTGAAGCCGGAGCTCCCACCTGCACCAAATCCAGCGGCGAGAAAAGGCCACACTTAGAAATAGAATGGAGATCGACAGCATCTCCAGTGCCTCAGCTTTAGCTGGAACCGAGAATCGTCACGAGCAATCAGAAGGGGGATCAAGGATCTGCGAGAAAGCAATATGCATGCCGGCCGGTCCTTGCGCGACTGGAAAAACAGGCGGTCCTGCTCAGGCAGAGTTGACAGGGCTGTGAGAACATCTAACCGGAATCCTACGGTTGAAGTTGGCGCACCTTGGACCGTGAGCACAGCAGGCCGTCGACGCCGAGCTGGCAATGTCCAACGATTGTGCGGCTGAACATACCTCATTCATCGCTACCAGGCCTAGTCTAGTTAGCCTTACAAGTAACTCGCAGCTACGTGTCCTCGCGGAGCAAGGTATGATAGGCATACATCCAGTGTGATCTTTGTCTTGCCACGATGTGTTCATCTGCTTCTGTAACTACTTACTTTGCCTGCAAGGCTAGGCTTGGGGCGATCAAATTGATTTTATTTTGATCTTGCAGAATTCAACGGCGACTTGCCTACCAAAGCACATGCTGTCACGAGCCCAGGGCCCAGGCGCGTCGGGATTCGCGAATGGATTCCGCGGGGAAGATGCTTCCTTGTGATCTGGCTTCGAGTTTCTGCGAACTCTGCGGCTCCAACTTTCTGCGAAAGCTGATCGAATGCTTGAAGCAAACAACCGAGTGGGCCTGGCCCATGGACAACTCGGGCAGATCTGGTGCAGAAACCTGAGATAGATCGCATTCTCCTTTTCCTCGCATCATGAAGGAACAGAGTGTTGGCGTCTTGACACGTCGTGGCTGGGCGGTTGCTTCTCTGTTATCGCATCCCTTTGCAATATTCCCCGTCTGCAGCAGATCGCGGATTGCTCTGCGATGGAACGACTGTGTTGATATTGAGCGCGCCATGGTGTAGCCTTGTCACCTATCACTGCTGCCTGGTCCTCGCTCGGTATATTACAGACCAGGCACTGGCACTGAGCTCCAGCCCCAGAGCTCATCTGTTCTCGGAGTGAGAAGAGTGCCGTAAGAACCTTGCCCCGGCAAGCACACGAGGAGTCTCCACCGCATGGACCACAGATTGCATCCTTGTGTGCTCAGAACTTCCTCGATGCCGGATACCCTTTCCTTCTCTCTTGGGCTCAGGCTCGGGCAGGACTTTGGACCAGGCACAGGCACTGTGCAGTTCCCTGGAACCTGATCTGGAATTTGGGTCTCCCCGGGGCCCATGGCTGGAAGTGGATCCGAGGATCTGAGACTCCGAGGCCACAGCGTAGTCCGGCGCGCCGGTGGACAAAACACCGAAGCCTAGGCCCGGCTTTGGACCCATCCTGCAGCTGTCCGCCAGAAAACGTTACTGTAGAGTCTAGAGCTTCTTCATGGTTTCAGGTTTCCGTCGTGTTACTTTGCAAGAGGTGCCAGTGACACTTCAACCAGTGCCCAAAAACTGTTCATGGCTATCTGTCTCTCCTCTACTTAGGATGCGAGGATCCAAATCCCCAACCCAAGCAGACTTCAACTCCTGCATGTCTGTGGTGCGCGTAGGCGACGGTCGCGCTCCATGGCACGTGCCTTCAGATTCCACGTGAAGTCAAAAACCAAACACGACTTTCAATTCCTATTCTTAGTGCAGGTATCATCAAGACGTTGCTTGATGATGCCGAACCCTTCTGATCTTCAACCTAAATTGATCAAAACACTGGCGACAGTGCCAGGCTCCCAGCATACATGCCACCTGCCAGTGCAGAATGGGCACTAGACAATCTTGACATAGCTTAGCGAATAGAGATAATCAAATTCCAGGCAAGCAGCTGGGCGATGAGGAAAAGCTTGGGGATGTATCACCGAACCTGAAATGCGCTGTGCTTCAAGCTGTTCCATTACGATCTAATGTGATCAAGGTGCTGATGTTCCCAAGCCAGACCTGGAGAAATGGAGTCAGCCTGCAGCATCTCTGCTTCATCTCACGCCAGGTTGGAATGCAGGCAGCTTCACGATACCTCCTGCTCCACCTGTGGTTCTCTCTGCAACACAGCTCCGGACAAGATGGCCAGCTTTGGCCCTTTTGCAGCCTCGGCGAAGAAGGCCGGTGAGCCGCGACCTGCACTTCTCGGTTTCAGCACTTCTCGGCTTCAGGGGGCCTAGCTGTTTCAACCCCACCTGCAGATGACGAGAAGCTGGTGGAAGCATCTGCGAGCCTCAATCAACAAGCTTGGGTGGCTCCGTCTCCCGTCAAGATGGAGAAGGGACGGATCGCTCAAGCTCTACTTCCCGTACTTGTCCCCAACGGTTTATTATTGCCAAGCAGCGGGTCAGTCGCTTGAACGCCCTTCTCCCAGCTGTCCAACTGGTCATGTGCAGCGATGAGGTTTGCAAGATGGAAGCTGTACAGTTCAGAAATCGGCTTCCCGTTGCCAAAGGCCCTTCGTAGCTTCTCGCCTCCGTCAGGCCCAAGGAGCGGCTCCGATGCTTCGGCGGGGAGTCACCTGCGAAGACGACGAAAGGTGTGTTCAAATGGTGAGGCTTCACCTAAAGGCGCTGCCAAGACCAGAGTCCAGTGTGTTCAGTGGCTAGTTTTATGTGGTGGAAGCGGGACCCTCGGTTTGCGTTGATGTGAAAGAGACCTGGAGGATCTCGATGCTCAAGGCCCCTGTTAGCTTCTTAAACCTAGCAGCTCGAGTGATTCTGAGCCAGCACCATGTGGAACTTCCAGTGAGCAAGCCAGCTGCAGTGATCAAATGCACAACCGTTTGGAGTTCATGGAATTTGCTTGTGGAGCTCTTGGATAGCGATTTATCACATGCCCCTGGCACCGTGCTTACCCTCGTCGAGCAGAAGGCTTCCGGCGACCGAAGCAACTTCCTGTATGACAGTAGTAGAGCACGCCGGCTAGCTCACAACACACTCTCCATACAGACCATCATGAGAATTCCAGGCAGGAGGCCATGCGCTGGCATGTGTGTGTGTGTGTTTGTGCGCACGCACGAGCACGTTGGGTTTCGTGGTTGGGTCGGTCGGTGTGTGGTGGGCACACAAAGGTTGTCTTTGCGGATGTGCAGTATGCAGTGTATGTAGAAGTGAGGATGCAGTCAGTGCAGGCTTTCGCGCCTGCGGGGGATTGTGCTGCCATTGTGGCTCTCTGCCTGCAGGAGTATGGCTTTCGTCACCTCGACTCTGCCTCTCATCTATCTCCGGTCTGGCTTCTACCGCTTCAGAAAGATCGCATTTGCGGTTTGCGGTGGGCGAATCCCAGACAACAAGTGGCAAGAGCCTCATCTTCTGCTCCATGTTGTCGTCGCTCCGAGCTGCAGGGCATGCAGCATGCATGCTTCCAGCATAACAGGTGTCTGCAGTTCTCTGCTGCATCTGAACCATTTCGGAAAAGCAGCCGAAGTCTGACTTCGTGCCCAAGCCTTTGCACGGAGGCGGAGGGTGTCCAGTGGGGGCCTTCGATTCCGACAGCTCCTGTCCTTAGAGGCCCAGATTAGATTTTTTCGTGCGAACCCAGCCGTCAGTTGCGGCCGAAGGTCCCTCACCCTTAAGCTCATGCGCTGGTGTGCTGGAGTTTTGGGCGAGGAGGTTGTCCATCCTTCGAGTGTGCTAAATGCCATGCAGCTCTGCATCTGCAACTGCATGGTGCGGACAAGTCGCTTCAGAACAAGCCTCTCTGCATCCTCTGCAGGGAATCATGTACGGTCTGCTAAAGCTACACCTATTTGTGCGAGCATGAGCGCCACCACTATGCAAAGTCCTGGTGCAGGCTGAAGGTTTCTCTGCCAATGTTCCTCGGCGAGCGCTGAAAGAGCACGCTCTGATCAGCCTCATGCAGCTGCCAGCACTACTCGCCAAGTCTCGGCGATGCGCTTGGGCGACATTCTGGAGTGCCTGTCCCGCGTCACAGAGTGTGTCGGACACAAGCACCGCGGATGTGCCGTGGAGAAGTCGGCCAGGCCTTGTGCCCTTAATGGCATGCCGGAGTCTGCCCACGGATCCAGCCTTCATTGCAGTCATTGCAGTCATTGCAGTGCACGCTTCCTGTATGCTTCCAACGAGGTATCTGACTGCGCCTGGCATCTAGGGCGAAGCTGTCGGGTCTGTGCAAACGCTTCTCGTGCATCTCCCTCATGATCTGCAGCCTCGCCTGAGTCGAGTCTTTGGATGAGAGAGCTCGGATGCTCTCAGTGTCAAATCGCGCCTCAAATTGTGTCATGGTCCAGATGGACAAAAGCTCGGCCTCCTCACGCAGGGTCCGGGCTGGTTCTGGATTCACGAAAGGTTCAGAAAGGTTCAGCAAGGTCCTGCTTCTCTGTCTGCCTAACCAGACGAACACACAGATCTGGGACACCACAGTTATCCTGGGCTCTGCCGCGGTCTCGAAGCGCGCACACACACACACAAACACACAAGGACCCTTCTGATGCTTCTGTGTGACGGGTCCGATGAAGGGCACACAAAGACAAATGAAGACTCCTCCAAGAATCCCCGTATCCGTACACCATCACTGGTGCCATGGAGGAGAGCTCGAGGTTAAGCTTTGACAGCGGTTTGAGGACATCCGTCAACGCATTGGCCTCAAGGCTTCGACAGCTCAGCCTCTTGATCGTCTAGGCTTTTGGACTTAAGCAGTCATCACTCTTCTCGGGGTGCTTCTCTTGCAGTGCAGAGCTACAGCATGCTAGACTCTAGCATGTGTGTTGACACACTGTTACTTGGCCTCGACAACAAGCGCCGCAGCGCGTTTGGCAGAGATGAGGAACTTGTCCAGGCGTTGGAAGCTTCTGCTGTCGAGGTTCTGTCCCTGCAATGCCGACATGTACTGCAAAGCGCCCTGCAGCTGCTCGCGGCGGGGCTCAGGGAGAATTTGATGCATGATCCGCTCGCGATCCTGGGAGCCCAGGCCCCACCATGTAGGTAACTTCTCATGCAAGTTACCTCCCGGCGGTGAGGTGCCGCTCTTCACGACAAAGCAGATGGAGCTGCCTACAACCAGAAAGTCACCATGTCTGAGCTCCTTCGGTTCTTCTCTCAGCTTCACGTGGTTGATCTCCACCGTTGCCACTGGAACCGAGTCCACGCAGACTGGGCGAATAAAAAGCCCTCCCTCGTCCAGCCACACAATACAAGACCGGGGGGCGATTCCAGCTCTGCGTGGGAGGAGGAAGTCACAATCAGATTTGTAGCCCATGCAATACTCGAAACCCGTTTCTGCGACGGCGAAGATGAAGCGGCCATTGATTTGAGGATCATCGGAATAACTTGCCAGATGTGGACAATCCTCTTGCCGCAAGTGAGGGCTATATTGAGGGCTTTTGGACGGCCCCGAACTTGGCTCTGGCCCTGGCCCTTCCCTCGGAGACAAAGACCTTGGTGACCTTGCGGCCATGCGAAATCTCGCTACTCCCAGCTTGCGTAGAGCCGAGTTTCGCTGCTCTCGCAGCTTCTCGTTCTCCTCTATCTTTTCTTGCCAGGAGTCGCGGTACTTCTGGAGCATTCCATTCGCCACCTCAAGCTCACTTTTCAGCTCCTCGACAGCAGCAACACCTTCAGACGACAGGCGGTCTCGAAGTGCCTGCACCTCTGTTTGCAAACCGCTGATGAGCGAATCTTTGTCCACAAAGGTTGCAGCTCTGGCCTCCACCTTTACATGCTTCAGACTCGTCGCAAAGTTGAGAGTGGTCAAACTTTCGTCCACATGCTGCCTTGCTGGGCTCAATGTGCAGATGACGGAAGTTTTGGAGTTTCCCTTCAGTGCGTTGGCAAGCAGCAGCGTCAATTTGGAGTTACGGAATCTCGTCATATCGACCCCTTTTCCGCCTGCTGCCTTTCTTTGATGTGGAGTTGCATCAGAGTCTTCTGAGATCGCACTGGCGCGATCGCGGCTCGCATCAGTGTTGCGTTTGGTGTCCCCCTTCACCTTCTTGTCTGGTCGACGTTTCTCCTTCGGACCAAGCTGATCTGCCTCACCTACCGAGTGTCGCCGCTTGGCGGGCTCGGCGGCACCCCCGAGTGCGTGGATGCACTGGGAGAGCCACATAAGGCTCCGATTGATGAAGCTTAGCTCAACAAGACGGTCACCCTTCACCTTCGTGGTGCGCTCGTTCTCGCGGCCGGCCAAATCCACGAAATAGACCTCGGAGGTCAAGACGGTGTTGTCACTTCCACCATGCTTCTCCAAGCTCAGCTTGTAGACAGTATGGCCGCGCGAAGATTGCGCATTCATTGCTGTTGCTGCGAAGCTTTGTCGCCCTCTGGCTTCGTCTATAAGCGTGAGGCAAGACTCCAGAGAGTTGGCGGGCAGGTCCAGTACGTGCTTAAGATAAACGCCAAGTTTCGGATGAACGTGCACTTCAGGATTTTGAGGGCTGCTGTCGTTCAAGAGGTCCCTCACCTTTTCATTGTACACCTCGACAATCTGCAAGCTGCACTGAATTTCACAGCCTTGTTTCACAAGCAGCTCGTCCACTTGCTGGTACATATCTGCCATAAACCTCAACAGTAGGCCTTGCTCAGATTTAACCTTGGAGTTGCCCATGATGGTGAAGGTTTTGCCGGTACCAGTCTGACCGTAACAGAATAAGCAGGCGCTGTAGCCATTGAAGGCATGCTCAATCATCTTCCCGGCCATAAGTTGGTAGCACCTCTCCTGGCCGACAAAAACCTTGGCCTTGGGATCGGTAGAGTCCATGACATAGTCGAACGCAAACTCCTTGGGAGCAGCTTTGCCTGCAGAGAATGCAACCCGAAGCCCCGGACAGATTCGCAGTGGTAAGTCCGGGCAAACCCAGGTGTCACTATCAGCCTGCCCTCGTTTAAAACGCTCTTGCCCTCATCATCTTCGCCTCACGTGCTAGGAAGCGGCATGTTGGAGTGCAACATGGCGGTAGAATACTTTCAAAAAAGCGGCAATGCTCCAAAGGCTACTCACACCTCTTCCTTTCTGCAGCGCAACGATATGGGGCGCCGGCTTTACTGGCTTCGGTGGCCCGCTCTTCGTCAAGGCTACTTGACCAATGTCAAAGGAGGAAAACGCTTGGCAAGTCTAAGAAGTCTGTCAGCCCTCTCTCCCCCAAGCAAACGTACGGCCAGCCCAAAGGCATACACCCTGTTGTATCCGAAGGACTCACCATCACTAGCAGTGTAACAGGTACTGCGGCTACAAACCAGCCCGTGAAGAAACACATGCGAGAACGCAGGCCAGGACAGGATTAGAGGCATGACAACTCTGCCTCCGGCTCCTTCCACATTAACAATGACAGCATTGTCACCTTGGGCAGATGGACACACGCATGTGTGGTACTTGTAGTCGCTTCTTTGTGGTGTGCATTGCAATGTCATCCAAAGAGACTTCTGCGCTCTACATGTCTGCGACTGGCGAACCTGCCTTCAGGAGCTAGGTGGCCGACGTATTCTCAAGGCAGGTTGTCCAGCCTGCGTGGCCTCATGTGACACGAAGGGTCGCAGTCGAACGCCGATTCGTACAGCTTCAGCGCTCATCTCCGGGAACCATTGCGCCCGGGTGCTTTGCCTCCGCCCTACTGCAAAAGCTCGTATATCAACTTCATCTGCATGTTTAGATTCCTCTCACTTGCTGGTCTCGTTTATGCCCCGTTGCCATAGCAATTATGGGTCATGATGTTCTGATCGGTATGATGTAGCAGGAGTCGTGCCGCACGAGCTTACTGGGCAGCTTCCCTCCTTGAACCATCACTTTGCGGCAGCCGGTATGTTCACTCCCACAAAGATGCACCATCTTGCCCTAGCACTACGGTACGAAACTTGTTCAGCCCGACAAGCCCCACGGTACTGGATATCTCAAAACGATGTTTCCGGGACTCAAAACTGCTGCTAGTAACCAGCCGTTCCATTGCGAAACAAAAGTTCCGTGTTGTCAAACTGTGATTGCCAATTTCGAGTCTCCGTGCGATCTGTGCCTTTGCGATTACACCCGATCTGTGGGGCTGTTCTCCGCTACGCAGGTGTACAAGTCTTTCTGCACCAGATGCATTGAATATGTATGCCCGAAGAAACTCTGGTAGCCGCCTAACTTGACTGCAAACATCACATGACACTGGTGCTGACCCCACATGACCCCACTATAGTGTATACGAGCTTAAACATGACTAAAACTGCCCCGATGCCGCTAGAGGTTTCGCTAATCAACTGCTTGAAGATCCAAAGGAGGTCACACCACTGTAGTCCAGACACGGTCATCAAGGCATTTCGTAGTAGACAATGCATGTTTGGGTGCTCGAAGGAAGAACCTCACACAGCATTCCAGTTTGCGGACCGGAGACTGTCAATGTGTTTCTCCGAGGCAGCTACTCTGCAGTGTACCAGTACTTGTCAGCTGGTCCAACAGCTTCTCCGCTGCACGCCGAAGTTCAGCATTTTGCTCATTTTGGAGGAGACAATGCAGCGCCCGGACTACGTCTTCAAGAGCGCTCTGGCAAAGCCAGGGCAGAAGATCCAAAGCAGCCTGCCGGACTTGAACCATTGGATCCTGCAGTAGTCTGAGGCAAGGCTGCAAGACCATGTGCTCGACGGAATTGTGCAGGTCTTTGGGCCTTGGCAGTTGTAACTCATCCATTTTCACCAGGCCATGCTGATCTTCAAGCTCTTCAGACAGGGCTTTGACGAACTGGAGCAAGTGGTGAAGACCGCTGGCAGCAGCGCGTCGCACCGGCCAATCGGCATCTTGCAGACGCCACGACAGGAGCTCCAGCGCTCTTTGCACCGTCGCTTGGCTACCACCCTGTGCCAGCCAGGCCACTGCATCCACGGAAGCCCAACGGACCGGCCACGCGGGGTCTGTAAGCAAGGCAGATGCCTGCTCCATGCACGCCGCGTCCCCACAAGGTGCGACATGTGCCAGCGTTCGCAAAGCCACCCGTCGGACGTCCACGGAGGCATCCTGCGGCTGCGAGTGTAGGAGTAGGACCCTGCCTGCCACATGATCTAAACGGAATCTAAGATGCAGGAGGCGACGCCTTCAGGCTCTTTACTGCGGCAGCGACTGCAACAGCGCATGCTTCGTTCTCGCCTGATTCGTCCTGCGTTCGAAGACGTTCGAAGCGGCTTCGGACACCCAATATGCAGCTCACAGCGTGTGTCGCAGTCCTCGTCTGTTCGGCGTGGATTGCTGGCAGCCGCGAGTGCGCTGACAGCCTCAAACCACAGAAACGAATTGCATGGAACAACCAGGCTTCCGACTCTGGGAAACGGACCGCAGCCCTGACTTGCGCATCTTCGTTTGCTAAGCGCTGGGAGCAGCCAGCGAAAAGTGCATAACTCACCTGAAAGCAGAAGCGGGTCTTACACAATTGGTGCCTTCTTGTACCCGATGCCGGGACAAGATGCTGTTATTCAGGATTCAAGGAGAGTTTAAGGCTTCTTGGGCGGATACCTTGGGATACCTCGCAGCTTCTTTAAGAGACGGGATGCTGAGCTGGCGACATTGACATTGAGGATTGTGCACTTTCGCAGCACAGGCACACAGACAGTCCAAGAGATAGATTCATAAATAGTAAGCTAGCTAGCTAGCTCGCTAGCTAGACAGATAGACAGGCAGGTACCGGATTTCGTTCTCACAAGAGAAAAGCCCAAATGAAGGACGAAGGCAATCAGCAATCGCGCACGCACAGAGGCCGTGCTCACACGTGCGTGCGCGCAAAAAGCTTAGTGAGTCTACCGTGAGGCTATTCAGAATAGGGTTGACTCTGGCACAAAGTGTGCTTTTGGAAATAATCATGCTGACGACATATCCTGACAAGAACATCGTCGCATCTTCGGCGGCTGTGACACCCTGCCGAAAGTGCTGACTGAATTGAATCGAAGCTCAGAGAGAGAATGATTACCGCCGACGCCTCACTCCTCGGTTCCACAACATCCTTTTCGAATTTCCCCCGCTGCTCCACATCATAAAACCCCTTTGGCTCTCAGGGGTGAGGCAGGCTCATGTCGTGTTTTATGCAAACGCGTGAGTGTGCACCCTTCTAGCGTGGTGAATGTGAGCAGGTTGGGAGAGTCTGTTCAGCAGAGTGGCACAACTTGCGCATGTGAGCGAAGGATGGAGTCAGGGACCGACAAAGTTGGCAAGTAACTCCCCTTTGGACCTCGAACGTATGCCGTTTGGCAGCTGCAAGAATATCAGCGCTCTCCTCCCTCGGAACCCTCTCCTGCCCGCAGTATCCCGTCTACCCTGAACCCCCCGAGGTCCGATCGAAAACTGGCCAAGACTAACTTTTTCTGCACCACTTCGAACCCTGATCCGCCTATTCCTCAGGCAGCGTCATGACCCCGGAATCTCCAACTGCCTTTGCCGGCCCGCCGGGGTGCTACAATCTGCTACAAATTCCGATGTTGCGCGTTCCAGCGCGGTCCGGGCAGCTCAACAGAGCCTCAAACGGAGAAGCGAGGTGCCCATGATGCTCGCGATGCTGGCTACAATCGTGGACTGGTTGCTGGGGGGCACGGCTGGCTCATGCGTGGGCGCGGTGTCATGTGCTGCCATACGCACAAGTCGCCCGTATGGCCGGCGTCCGACTTGGCCCCAGCTGGCTTCCATGTTGACGCAATTTGGCAAATTGTTCCTGGAAGCCAGCAGAAGGAGAAACCAAGACCCACTGATGCACGTGATGCGGTCTGCATGGTCAGCGGCTGACGCTCGTATTGATGCTCGTGATCCAGGCCGCGAAACTTACTTTTAAATTCCATTAGAAGTCAATCTTCAGGATGTCAGCATGGGCTACCAGTTCCAGCGCTGCCCTCGGACAGGTGGCTGTGTGAGTGCCAGGAGCCACCCCGAGTAGAATCGAGGACTCGATAATGCTCACGGGGGGGGGGGGTGTTCTTTAATTATTCCGTGCTTCCGCTCACTACGTTCTCTTCACTCTATTTTACTATGAAAGAGCTACAATACAAAGAACTCTCTCTGCATACACTACATTCTTTTCGCAGACACCCTAAATTAAATCCAGAAACCCTAAACCCCCTAACGCCTGAACCTAGAAACCCCAAATCCAGAAACCCTAAACCGAGCCAAGTTCGGACTCGGTCGCCGCTGGGCAGACCCGGGTTGCCAGGTCCAATATCCACACCCCTCCCTCAGGTCCACGTCCACTTGAAAACATGCGTCAAAAAATTTCAAAAAAAACAACTACTCCGTGAAAATTACTCCGGGACGCAGCACCCCCTGGAATATATGTATTCAGTATTTAAGACACCCCACATCTCATGCCACCTCATGCCGCATGCCGCCCGTTGTGTAGAGCCCCGAAAGCCCGCTGGTGGCTTCGATCTCCCAAGCGCTTTTCGCGATGCGTGCCATTCCCACCAGCTCCGACCCGCTGCCCCTACAACCTCCGCAGGCAGATCAAGGGATAGCAAAGTACTTGCTCAGGATGACCTTGTCTCGCCAGGCTTGGCTGCACAAGCGGAGCACCAGCAGCTGCCTGCGGGAGGCTCGCTCCCTCTCTCTGTTTCTCTCTCTCGCTCTCGCGCGGCACCACGCAAGCTCATGCAGCGAGCTCAAGACAATGCAATGGGGTGATTTTCAGGCGATGCGTTTATCGAAAACTTTCTGCGAAGGCTTGGTCGCCATTGGCAGCACCGTTTTCGCGTGCTGCTCTGCCAACCACTCCTTGGCAAAACAAACTTCATGCACAACCCAACAGTGGGAAGAACTTC